CCCTACTCTGGACCAACATGAAGTTTTTTTTTTAAAAGGGAAAAACCCCCCCCCCCCCCCCTCTCCCCGGTGTTCGCTCTGGTGCGTTTGTTTGATACCCTCCAGTATATGAATTCATTTTTTTGTACCCGCTGCTGAACCTAAACACGGGAAAGATCTATTAGAAGCTGGGACGTTCGACCTGATCGGCTGTTTAGCCCACAACCGGCCATCATGGAGATGAACTACGATGAGAAGGTAGAGTACATCGCAACCGTTAAAAGGTCCAGAGCCGAGCACTGACTTCGTTTGCCCAGACACTTCACCAGTCAGTCTGCTCGTAAACCAGCTGGCCTCCCGTTTGATAACCAATGTAATCCGCAGACTCGAGTCAGAGCTCGGGACCAAGATATATCCTGGTACCGAAATCATGACAGACACTGGCACTCATCATTTTGTCAAGTCTTCAAAGAACGTGCTCGTGCCACAGCCGTCAAACGATCCAAATGATCCGCTGGTTCGTTTGGTCTTTATGCAATTGCCGTTACAGTGTTAGCTCATAACATCTTCCATAGAACTGGAGTCCCTTTTGGAAGGGAACCACAATGGGCTTGACAACCATAATGTCGTTTGCGCAGGCCGTCGGTCCTCTAGCGTTGCCCCCGATGTTCCCCAAACTAATGGCAGAATTCAACTGTGATCTGGCGGGTGCCGTTCAATTTATTGGTGTTTGTATTCTAGTTCTAGGTTTCAGTAATTTCTTCTGGTATGACAAGTGTCAGGTTCTGTTAAGGTTGATGCTCATTACTCAAGGGTCCCTATTATGACGACATTCGGCCGCCGACCCGTTCTCATATTCTCAACACTGATTTGCGTCATCGCAAATATCTGGCGTGGTGTCGCAACCTCCTATGGAAGCTTTATGGGCGCCTGCGTTCTTAACGGCTTTGGAGCCGGCCCCGCCGAGGTTTGCATGATTTCGCTTGACTTGACGAATCCTTAGCTAACGCAGAAACCCAGACCGCTCAACCCCAGATCATCGCTGATGTAATGTTTCTTCATGAGCGCGGTGCTTATAATACCCTTTATTTCACTGCGTATTTTGGTTCCCTGATGGTAGGAGGATTTATGTTCGGCTTTAATGTTAAAACGCTAACAATCCCACAGGTCGGTCCTATCATTGCTGGTCCCATGACAGATTATCTTCACTGGCGGCACTTCTGGTGGCTTAATGTTGGCCTTCTCGGAGCCGTAAATGTCGCCTTGGTCTTTTTGTTTCCAGAGACAAAATGGCACCGCCTTCATCCGGAAGAGCTAGCAAACCTCGATGGACCTCTAAACTGTGGTGGTGTCATGAATAAACAACCTGAAAAGGCAGAAACTACGTCTGTTGAAGCGGCATCTGAGTTGCAGGCTGAGAACGGACAAGTCAGCCGTGTTGAGACACAAAAAGACACTTTCTTGGGCAAAGGAGTTCCCTGCAAACGGCAATTCAAACTTTGGCAGTTGCACGATCATCCATTCAAGTCAATGCTTGGTGAATTTTGGACACCTTGGAAGCTGCATGCCTTTCCTATTGTTCAACTCGCGGCTTTTGTTGTCTCTTGGTCTGCATCTGTATTCCTAACCGTCAATTTAACGCAGAGCCAGAATTTCGCGGCACCGCCATACAATTTCTCCCCACAGGCTGTTGGTTTTACAAACTGGGCTCTTCTTGTCGGTGCCTTGATTGGGCTGTTTACCAATGGACCTCTATCCGACTGGGTTTCCATGCGTGCTACCAGAAAAAATAATGGGATCCGAGAGCCGGAGATGAGGCTCCCTGCCATGATACCATACGTAATTCTCGTGATTGTCTGCAACCTGGTGGTGGCATTGGGATACCAATACAAATGGGATTGGAGAGTAAGCAGAACTGCTCATCTTTTTGTCCCTCGCTGTATAGTGTAGCTAACGTTTACCTATAGGCTATCGTTTTGGTCGGCTATACGGGAGCAGGAATCCAAGTCGCGGCCCTTCCTGCTATTATTAGCACATATGCCATCGATAGTTATAAGCCAGTTGCTGGGAGTATTTTTGTCACCATCACCGTCAACAAGAATTTATGGGGCTATGGCGTCGGCAAATTTCTCACCCCTTGGACGATGAAAAACGGGTTTATCCCTGCTATTATGGTCAACATGGCCCTGACAGTATTCTGGTGCGCATGCGCCATCCCATTCTACGTTTGGGGAAAGAAGCTACGCAAGTTAACGTCGAAGTCATCTGTACACAAAATGTAAATACCGACTTTCTTTATGTTTGCATGTAATCAATCTGTGAATGCTAGATCAGCGAGCTCATGTCTTGCTAGTAAATGCCATTTTCTGGGAAATAATAATATTATTCAGCACGTTTTGAAATACAGACATACGTACAATAGAGCTCCACAGAAGCCGTTTCTCAGCATGCAGACCCAAACCAGAAACCCCATTGTTATGGTCTTAATTTAGTTACTGTAAAGAGGAGTAAGAAAAAAGGTATGGAGTAGAGCCAGTAGTTAGTCAACTACATTTTTCTTAGGCTTGCTACCCTAGTTAATAGAGCATTTCAAGATTTTCGCTTTTCCGAACCGTCCAACCCCTTGGCAAGAACGCCGAATGAGGCACTTCTACATATAAAGACAACTGGTCGGGCTTATTTCCATATTTCTCAAACGGTGTGTTTTGTACTTTTCGGCTGCGAGTCATCTTGTAGCGCGATGCCTTGTTCCCGGAGAGCATAGTTGCCAGTGCCAGAGTAAGTCGTCGCTCAGGGGGAACTATCTGAGCAAACGACCGAACTTGAAAGGCGGTTGGAAAAGCAATATTCATGGCCGCCAGGCCGGAATGGGTCTTATTAGATTTACTGGGACCATTGCTCCGGAGCTCGGTGCTCAAGGGTCATCTTCGTCCGGGTCATACAGATCCAGGTCTAACTTCGACTTAGCCGCCGCGGTAGGCTTGACCACATTCGCAGCAGGCATCACAACAGTTCCTATGACGGTTCCGTTTCCATTGCCCATTATCGCCTTGTCGGGAGGTACAGCCGAATTCGCCAAGTCCTGATTTCCCTCGCCTTTCTCCACTGCAAGGATGATCTTTTCGACCTCCTTCCCAAAGTCTTTCTCGTCACGGTCCTCACTGGCTGCAATCGCTGCTTGCAGCCTCCCCATAATGCCTAAGCGAATTTTGTCATCATGCGGATACGGTAGCATCCAGCCTTGCCGGATCGATCGGGCCAAGGCATCCAAGCCGGAGGTAGAATGCTTGGTGATAGCTGCCATATCGCCTGTGGCAATGTTATTTTCCTGGTTATCCTCCAGCGGCTGTCTTGTAGGGATGGAACCGGACGCCGCAGCGGACGCTGCCTTTGTATTGTACTTGCTAATGCGTCGTGCGAAGTCCAACAACAACTTGTAGTCGATCTCATTCTTTGTAGTCGACTGTTGTTGTAGCACTGTACCGCCCATATGTGTATCTTGATCTTTGCCGCCGATACCTAGACCGCCGCCACTGGGTTCTAGTCGGTCATCATCACTGCTCACGTCGCCCGCCATTGCAGTAATTTCGTCACCCATCTTGGCCACCTCCCGCACAATGTCACGAACGCGGTCCTCCAAGCTCTGCGCCTCTGCACGCAGCTGCAGAATTCTGGCGTAGTTCGCCTGGTGGGTGCGCAAGGTGTGTAGAGCGGAGGTCAGATGGTCATCAGCGTCGAGGAGGGCAAGCGCAGCGGCAGGCGCACCAGCAGCAGTGGGCGACGAGTTAATGGAGGTGACTAGCGCATTGAGACGCTGCTCGATGGCGGAGAGGGGGGTAAAGAGAGCCGACTCCATGGCTGGGATTGCTGACGGCGTCTGCTGGCAGCGTGATGCGCGACCGCTGTGGAGGCGGGCGGGCCAAGCTGCGGCACAGCTGTTTGTCCGGACTCCGGGCGAGACCTCTGGTGGTACGTATACATACGGAGTACGTCTATGGCATCCACACGCCGTCCGATTCTACAGAACGACATACATCACATCAAGAGCCTATATTCCCAGCGCCGCTCTCACCTTCACGCCTAACCCCATGAGCCTCTCACACGACTCGTTGGCAAAAACAAAGCGAATATACTGCGAGCCGTGTGTCTCGCCCCAGCCGGCCATGCCTGTGGCACACACCCCGTGTTCCAACAGCCGGGTCGCCATGGTCTCCCCGTCAATACCATAGTCCGAGACTCGGAGGAGCAGCGACCACCCGCCAGCGGGTGTGGCCACTGGCATGCCCTTCAATTCCTCCAGGATCACGTCCCGTCGTTTCTGCAGCTCCTCCACGTAGGGCTGCATGGTGGACGACGACCGCTCCAACGCCAGGGCGGCGGCAGACTGCGCGATGCCCACCGGGACCACGACGTTGGCGAGCGCGACGGCGGTGAGATCGGGGATGTACGAGGAGGGCGCCACAATCCAGCCCACCCGCCAGCCGATCAGACGCAATTCTTTGGACGCGGCGCCCACGGTGATGGTGCGTTCGGCCATGCCAGGCAGGCCAGCCGGGTGGAGGAGCGGGCGGTGGTCAAACAACAGGCGCTCCATGGCGGTGTCGAGAATAAGCAGCAGGTCCGCTTCGACACACAGCTGGGCCACCAGCTGCCAGTCCTCCGCATCGAGGTAGGCCCCGGAGGGCATCGACGGCGACATGAGGAGCATGGCACGCACTCTACTGCCAGGCGCCCGGGTGGCCGCACAGAGGGCTTCTCGATCCAGAACCCATTCGCGGCCGGGGGAGAAGGTGAAGGGGACAAACTTGGGCGTGCCGCCCGCCAGGCGGACGCGGTTGATCAGGCCGGCATAGGTGGGATCGGTGACGATGACCTCGTCGCCGACCTCGACGGTGGCCAGCAGCACATTCAAGATGCCAGACAGGCCGCCGGCGGCGATGAGGCAGTTGTGCTCGTCGTACGGCACACCGGACAGGGCGGACACATGGCGGGCGGCGACGCGGCGCAAGGGCAGCTGGCCGACGAAGGGCAGGTAGCTGTTGTTGCTGTCGGCGTGGAGGGCAGCCGCGGAGCAGGCGATGACGTCGGGGTCGGGGGGGATGTTGACGTCGAGGTTCTCGAGCCGCAACAGGTCGCAGTCCGCGTGGTCGGCGAGCTGGCCCATGCGATCGACACCAATGGGCGCGATATGGGCAAGGCGGGCGGGGCGAGGGCGCGTCATTCCGGATCCTGATCTGGGAAGAATAATGGAATCCCCGACGGATGAGATCCCGTGGGTCGACGTCAGCCGAGGCTGTGCTGAGTCAGCGGCCGGCGCAACGACGGGCCGGACTGTGGCGGTGGCGCGCACCGCCACGGTCCCTGGCACGGCGCGGGCGCGCGCTAAGCCACATCGGGTGGCTGGTCGGGCGATCGCTGCCCTGAGCGCGCCAGGCCCGGCGTGCCCCCCTGGCTGCCCGCGCGCCGCCGCCCCGAGCTGGCCCCGTCGCCCGGAGCTGGCCCCGTCGCCCGCCACAGCGTGCCCGGCATACCCCTGCGCGCGCCGCTCCGCCCAGCTCGCTTCCTCCGAATCCTAATATCCCCTGATTATTTTATTCTTGCTTCGGCACTGCGATCGCTCGCTCGCTCGCTCGCCTCTGCGTCCCCCTTCACACACGCCCGCAATTTGCTCCACCGTGGCAACGCCCGCCAGCCATGTCTTGCAGTCGCTATCGAGCCAATCGCCGTGCCCCGGATTCGCATCCCCCTTCGTGGTGCGCCACCCGGCCCAGCGCTGCACAGGCGAACGAGCGGTGCCAGCACGCCAGGCCCAATAAAGAGCTAATTACTTAACCTCCCCTGCCCATGGACCGACCAACCGCCAAATCTCCCTCAGTCGCATCGCCGGGCCTTGGGCGCCCGCACGCCAATGCCTGCAATCTCCCTCGCCGCGCCAACCGTCGCCACCAGGAAACACCTCGACCAAAACATCGCGCGCCGCCGATCGCCCGGCCGCTGCGGTGTGTGACCTCACCCGCCGTGCTTCCCTGCTTTTGCGCTGCTCGGCGCCCGCGTTGCTTTTGCCCAGCCAGCCTGGCAGCCTGCTGCTATATCTTCTCGCCCCCGACCCGCCCGCCTCGCTCTTCTCTTCTTTCTTCTTCTTCTTCCCTTTCCTCTTCTGTCCCGCGTCTTGCTCTCTCTGGTCCATCCGCTGCTCTCCATCTCGCGTCGCTACCTGCTCAATTGCGTGCTCCTGCATTCCTCTGCTTCGCTCATCATGAAGACTGCTACTATCGTCTCCGTCGCCCTGTGCGCCGCCCTCGGCTCCGCTCAGTCGCTGGATGGCATCAGTGCCTGTGCTGTAAGTGCTGCCTGTGTGCCCTAGCATTTCACCTCAAACTCGCGCTGACCTGCTGGCTTGCAGCGCACTTGTGTCGACAGCATGATGGGCAAGGCTTCCCAGCTCGGCTGCGGTGCCAGTGATGTTGCCTGTCTCTGCGGCAAGGCCGACTTCACCTACGGTCTCCGCGACTGCACCAACCAGGCCTGTGGTGGCCAGGATCTCGACAAGGTCACTGCCTACGGACAGGCCTTCTGCGCCAATGCTGGCAACGGTGGCGGTAAGCGGAACCTTCTCTACCCCCTTTTTGCTCTTCGCAATGCCACCAACACGCGCTAACCAAACTGTAGCCTCTTCGGGTTCGCCATCTCAGACTGGTTCCGCCACCGGTACTCCGGTAAGTGACACAAGTCAACGCATAAAGCAAGCCCCCCGAACTTACCCTTCCATCTAGGCAAGCTCCGGTAGCCCCTCGTCCCCGGCGAGCAGCGGTGGAAGCGTGTCCGGCTCCCCAACCCCCACCCCGTCCAGCGGTGGCAGCGCGTCCGGCTCCCAGACCGCTTCCCCAACTGGCTCCCCCTCCGGATCGCACTCCGGGTCGCACTCCGCTTCCCAGACCGGTGCTCACTCCTCTTCCGATGGCCATGCTGGCCACGGTTCCCAGAGTGCCTCCGCCACTGGCTCTGCTACTGGATCTGCCACTGGCTCCCCCGCTGGTGGAAGCAGCCCAAGCCCCTCCGCCGGTGCTGCTGGCCGCCTTGCTCCCGGCGCTGCTGGTGCTTTGGGACTCTTGGCCTTGTTCGCTATGTAAAATAAGCACAATCCAATACCTGCATCACATAGCTAGATAGTTTTTTTTTCTTTTCTCTTCTTCCTTTTCATCTTCCGGAGCTGGTTGGTGGTTTTTTTCAAAAATTCCCCCTTTGCGCTTATTCACGAGGTTTATGAGGGCTGAATTGATACGCTGCACAGGGTGTGAAAATTTAGCATTGCGGGATACCTTGCTATGGATGCGACTCATAGGCCAGTTGCTAGTAATAATGAACGTAGAAATCTAATATCTGTCTTAATGCTCATTTTATTATCATTATCTTTGCCTTGTGCTGAGATTCTCGAGCGCCTTGGCACACTTGAAGTGGAAGCTCCCCCTGTCAATGCAGGGGAAGTCACTTTGCCATCATTGCTGGTCAGACAATTTAATTCTATCTTTCAGTGCTCCATGGAACTTCTAAACTGAGAATAAAATCGGACATACGGAGTACTCCGTACATGCGTCACAATCATAGGAAATTGCACCAGACTACAAAGAGCAGGTCGATGCATTAGTTACACGTCAAGCGACGACTGGAAGCCCAGCCTCCCCCCAGTTACCCAACTAGTTGGTTACTCTTCTCCCACGCTCTCACGCACACACTTCCTCACTCTCCGCTTGAATTCTTTCGGGTCATCCCGCCACAGCCTTGCGGCCTCGACATCGGCGGGGCTCTCGTCGTTTGGACTGCTTAACATACTGATCACCGACAGCAGAATTGTCTCTGGTGTTTGCACTGGCGACCAGCGCTCCGCTGCCGATTCGTAGCCATATTTATCTTCCTCGGGTGGATGTAGAATGGATATGCAGACTTCGCCGTTCGGGTAGACTACGGCTGCGGTTAATAGGGGTTGCCACAGCGCAGATACACAGGGGAGGGTCAGCCGGCGAGGCCTTACTATTGGGGTGGAAGATAGGCGTTTCGAACTTCATCTTGGGTGGGAGATGCGGGTATTCTGAAGGGAACGACAGCCTGGCATGAAAGAAACCGCCTGCTCTGCCACATTAGTTCATGGAAAGAGGGCGGCCATATGACTAGCTCCCTGACAACATACCGCCGTAGAACTTGCATTCATCCGAGATCATCAACATAACCTCCCACTCGAAGATATTGTTCTCGTCAGTCAGGCCGCAGCTGATGCCCGGGATATCCTTATCCGTCTGCATCTGCTTGAGTTGGCGGCCCAGCAGGCCGGCTGCTGCTGATGCCGCCATCTTGACGTTATACTGTGAAGGGTGGCGGGCGTTTCCCGTCTAGCGTCCTGCACAAAGCGTGGAGTGAAGATTGGGCCGTTGGCGGTACGTTTGAGACGGGGATGGCGGGGTGTTTGCGGAGGTACGGGCTGACTCGTTTTTTTTTTTTTTTGTTTTGTTTTTTTTTCTTCGATCTCCTATTATGTCCTCGATTCTGTACGAGTTTCCTAGGGAATCGCGGCTTGACGATAAATGAGAGTGATATGCGACGAAAGGCGGCAGCCCAATGCGATCTGGCAACGCTGCCTGTGCGGGGTGTCACGATTCTGGCGGTGGCGCCGAGATGAGCATCGCGAGCATCTTAATAACAGGCTCCTCCACGTGAGCAGAGGAGGAATGCGGGGGACTCAGCATTGGTCTGGAATTCCGGTCCATCTACGATTTCGTCAGAGAGATACTATTGATAAATGGGTTGTCGTCCGGTAGATACTTTGGAGTAGAAAGTTCAGGTATAGAAAGTATTTTACAAATGTGGTCGCTACTTAGAAACATGGCGCAATCCAATGAACAACAAAACACTAGTTCTGATCACGAAACACTCTAGCAAATGTAATAATCTCCGCCCACAATATTGGGACGAAAATAAGAGTGACGAATGCTGTGATGGCCACAAGTTTGCCGAGCAGTTTAAGAAGCCGGATGCGCGAAGACCAGCCGAAGTCTTTCCACGCATCCAGCAAGCCAAGGCAGCCTCCGCCTAGTACTGCCGGCTCAACCTTTCCATTAAAGGTCCTATCGAACGGCACAATCGTATCTACGTCAGGGGAAAGTGTTGAAGCAGCCACTCGAACCATGGTGACACTTGCTGGAACATCGATAAGAACGGTAAGGGCCAGAAGAAGCAAAAGTGTGGCAGCTGCGCCCGCTATAGCTCCAGGTGTAGGTGTATCTGGTTGAGGAAACTTGGAAAGGTCGTCCAAAGGAACTCCACGAATGGCAAGGTGCAAGTAGATGGGGACAAGGAAGCATATCTGTGACGCGACTGCTTGGAGGGCAACGGCTGGCATCACTCTTTTGATGGTACCAAATGCAGGGATATGTTTCCAGAAAGGGCGGGAATTCCCAGAAGGCTCTGTGAGAACGGTGTGTACCCATGTTATGATCAGACCAGAAAGCGCAATTTGGGCCGCAATCGCGGCAAAAGATCGAAGCAAGAGGTGAGCACGAGAGATGTGCAATGAGAAAATAGCGGTAAGTATAGAATGGCAGACGCAATAGACAATAGAAATTCCTAATCCGCGGAATGGAGCTAGACGGCCTCCACGGGCACGAAGATGCCTAAGCGTTGTTCTGATTTTGGCGGTGATTAGGCCGGCGGGCATCAGACTTTCATGATCAGTTGCCTCTCCAGGCTGGTTCTTGGGCATACTATTGTCATCGTGGTCGCGGACGGGAACATAAACGGCCGCACGGGGATCTTCGAGGACAGCAAGGGTTGGAATCACCATGCCAAGGGTGTATTGAATCTGCGAGCGCGGCCTGGTCAGCGGTTATTTCATCGCTTCATGGAGACCTCGCGAGCCTACACTAGCTAGAATAAGCACAAACAGCACGACAGTAGCTAGCAGGACGGCTGCTGCCGGCGGGGGAATTTTGGGTACACGGTCGTCATCCCCGAGTGTGGACTGCGCGGCTCCTCCAAGAGCACGAGGCATCTCCGCAAGGGCCCTCTGCACCAACCGGTGGGTGCCCGCGGATATCGCAGCAACAGGCATGATGTGTGTATGTGGAAAAGATAGCAGTGGTTTAAATGGGGAGATGAAGGAGAGACTGGAAACAACAGGTTGGAAGGATAACACTGTGCCCAGGACTAGGCGGCAGGATTAACTAGGTACTCCAAACGTATGTCGGTACGACGAGAGGGTGTTAGTTAACAACACCGCCAGCACGGCCGCTCCTCCCAGGCACTGCAGTTACCAAACCACGGTGCACGACCCACCTCGACGTCATGCCGGAGAATCTCTCGCTCCGTCACTCCACCACGGTACATCGTTGATCCGGGCCCGGCGCGGCTAGACTGCTGACTCAGCCGGTGTGGTGCGCCCCAGCGTCACGCCCACCCGCCTCTCGCTCCGCCGCATGTCGACTCGGGCGCAACCGCGACGCTCTCTTTGCCGCTGCTCTCTCCCCCTCTCTCTTCCCAATTCTCCCTACCTATTGCCTTCACCTGCAACCGTACCGTCACACCCGCCCACCTCGTTTGCCTACGCTTCCCACGCCGATACCCCTAGTTTAACCCACTTTACCCCGCCGCCGCTCTTTATTAACCCTACAATAATACGAGTTGTCTCCCGTCCTATCTGTCGCTGTTATCGCGTGCCCGAGAAATTCCCCCAATCCCTGGCGTCACGATGGGCAAGTCGTAAGTCGCTCATTCACTAATGCCCTCGCCTCTTGCCCTTGCCCTGCCTCAGGTTGTCTTATCTGTGACTTCTGGGGTTTCGAATCGTTTGCCTCAGTGTTTTCTATACTCGGACTACGGATATAACCATCTGCGCATGATAGCATGACTGCAATTGATTGTAAAATGGGTGACTGTTGTGAACCTTTTAGCTGGCTGACACTTTGCTCTCAGACAGTCGAAATTGTCGCCGTCCCAGTTAGATGAACTACAGAAAGCCACTCATTTCGACAAAAAGGAGTTACAACAATGGTACAAAGGTGTGTTTCTTTAATCTCTCCCTCTATTTTCATGCTCACCATTGCCTGCTATTTATAGGATTTCTGAAAGACTGCCCTTCCGGCACCCTCACAAAAGAAGAATTTCAGAAGATTTATCGACAATTCTTCCCCTTTGGAGACCCATCATCCTTTGCAAACTATGTATTTCGAGTATTCGATTCCGATAACAGCGGAATGATTGATTTTAAAGAGTTCATCTGCGCACTGTCGATCACGTCTCGTGGTAGGATGGAAGATAAGCTAGACTGGGCGTTTCAGCTATACGATATCGATGGAGATGGCAAAATAAGCTACGAGGAAATGCTGGCTATTGTTGAGGCGATATATAAGATGGTATGCATCCACCCCCGGGCAATCTATCTTGGATATATTCTGATTGAACTTTAGGTTGGCTCCATGGTAAAGCTTCCTGAAGATGAAGATACTCCCGAAAAGCGAGTAAGAAAGATCTTCAGGATGATGGACAAAGATGAAAATGGCAGCTTGGATATTGCAGAGTTCAAAGAGGGCAGCAAGCGCGACGAGACCATTGTCAGCGCTCTGTCCCTGTATGATGGACTCGTCTAGCTCACCATTTCGTTCTCTGGGATTTTTGGCATTGTATTTCATCATATCATCTGACAGTTTCTTTGGCCTCGCACTCGTTCCTTCCTTCAGCTTCGCGTATATCCTGCTGGCTATCCATCCTTGCTTAACCTCTGCGCAGCTTATACCGAGGAAAATGGACGCTCTCTTTAGGAGTCTATCTCATACCCCTATATTCGCCCTTTCTCCCACTTTTGGTGTTATCCCCAGCCCCACGCCCTTGCCCAATAAAAACTGGTACGAAATCCCTCAAGCACCTTCCTTCAATTTGGTCACGCTGGAGACCCTATTTTGGGTAAAATTCCTATAATCCCTATTCAATGTGTCTCTTCGGCGTTTCATGGCTGCGCTGTGAATGGCACCATGCATACATTTGTTTTGTATTTCCGGTGTACTGTTCGGATTTGACTTTGAATCGTGATGTACTCAACCACGATTACTTTATTCGTCATTACTAGCCTTGACTAGTGACCGTTTGTCTGTCTAATGCCTCGCTGCTGCATCAGCGAAGACGCGTTTACGATTGATGATAATGGTGATGGCGTTGTGATTTATATTTCCTGTCTGTTTTCCGATCTATGAACTTGCTGCATAGCTATTTGCCATGACTGTAAATGTAGTGAGGCCTGTCTAGCATATATATATCTACAATGCATTGCAGGCGTATTAGTATAACCTGTTTGCTTGGCATATGGAGGAAAATATGGTGCGGTGCTGATACGCTAGCTATCCCATCTTAGATAAGCAGGGCTGTGAAGGTTGACGTGTGCTGATTGGGATCGTTCCAAGATGACAGCTTGAGCAAGCTGCGGTCGCAAGCAGTATGGATTGATCTTCCACGCTCTTGGATCTGCTCTGGGTAGTCGGTTTGCTGCTGAACTACCCCTGCCAGCTTTATTTCCATCCAGTGAGCTCTATCTCAATGTTGTCCACCTCACCTCGCGGATGGTCGACCACCACTAACTAACCCAACATCACAGCTAGACCATTCTATCCATTATCAAGATGCGGCTTTCCGTTGTCGATTTCCCTCCGCTTCTCCTCCTCTCTCTCCTTTCATTCCACCCTTCCTCCTCCACTGCCTTCTACCTTCCTGGTGTCGCCCCCACATCCTACAATGTCGGCCAAAAAGTTCCACTCCACGTCAATCACGTCTCTCCCACCGTCTCAGAGCACGATGCCCAACTACACTCTGTTCTCTCCTATGGTTATTATCGCCCTGAACTCCATTTCTGTCGTCCCGAAGGGGGCCCCAAGGATGTTCGAGAGTCACTGGGAAGCATAATATTTGGCGACCGAATTCGAACATCTGCCTTTGAGATCTTTATGGCCAAGAATGAGACGTGTAAGCAGCTGTGCCCGGAGGTTATATTTGATAAAGAGAGCAGCAAATTCGTTAATAATATTATCTGGGAGGGCTACAATGTCAATCTGCTCATTGACGGCCTGCCTGCGGCACAGTTAAACACTGACCAGCAGACAGAGGAGGAGTTTTATTCCCCTGGTTTTTACCTAGGGACAGTCGAGAATGATGAGAAGGTTATCTTGAATAATCACTATGAGATCCATATTGAATACCATCGCGTTGCGAGCTTAGGCAAAAAAGACAAGTATCGGGTTGTTGGGGTTCTCGTGAATCCGTCCTCTCGCAAGCCGTCAGCGAGCGGTGGAAAACCTGAGTGTTCAGGCCCCCCGGTTTTTTTGAGTGAAATTGGCGATACTGCTGTCACATGGACCTACAGCGTCATCTGGAAAGAATCCCCCACGGCTTGGGCCACCCGATGGGACAAATACCTTCACGTATACGACCCAAGTGTGCACTGGTACTCTTTGATCTACTCCGCTGTTTTCGTTGTTTTGCTGGCCGCACTTGTGAGCACGATCTTACTTCGCGCGCTGCGGAAGGATATCGCGCGATACAACCGGCTGGACACCATTAACTTGGATGACTTGAACGACAACCCGAATTCTGTGGAGGATGGTATCCAGGAGGATTCGGGCTGGAAGCTTGTACATGGCGACGTATTCCGCTGTCCACAGCACCCCCTAATGCTGAGTGTACTATTGGGAAATGGGGCGCAGCTGTTTGTGATGACCGGCCTGACAGTTCGTGAGTATCCCATGCTAAATTGGAAATACCCTGTGCAGTGGCTGACAAAAATAGTTTTTGCTTTACTTGGTCTCCTTTCGCCGTCCAACAGAGGATTCTTAGGAACTGTGATCCTCTTGCTCTATACCCTGCTCGGCTTTGTCGGCGGCTATGTTTCATCAAGAACGTACAAATCGTTTGGCGGGGAGGCATGGAAACGTCTCATTATCTCAACCCCGCTTGCTGTTCCAGCCATCGTATTTTGCGTATTTTTTGCGCTTAACTTTCTGCTTTGGGTCAAGGGCGCCAGCGGGGCTGTCCCATTTTCCACGATGATTGTTATTTTATTGATATGGTTCGTGATTAGCGTGCCTCTTAGCGTTGCGGGAAGTTGGATCGGTTTCAAACAGCCTGTAAGTTGCCCTTCTCGCATACTCCATGTACATGGGTAAACGTCCGCTAATTTTTGACTGTTACCAGGCGCTCGAGGGTTCAACAAAAACCAACCAAATCCCTCGCCAAGTACCGCCGGCCGTTGGGTCGCTCCGGATCGTGCCATCAACTCTCATCACCGGCCTCCTTCCTTTTGCGGCTATATTTGTGGAGCTGTATTTTATCATGAACTCCCTGTGGACGGGCAAAATATACTACATGTTCGGCTTTCTCTTCCTCTGTTATGGCATGATGGTGATGATGTCGGCAACGACGACGATACTTCTAGTCTATTTCCTCTTATGCGCGGAGGATTATAGGTGGCAGTGGCGATCGTTTATTGGAGCGGGAATGACGGGCGGGTACGTGTTTGTTAATGCATTAATCTTCTGGGGAACACGCGTTTCATTCGGCGGGTTAACAGGCACGGTGTTGTACTTGGGCTACTCGGCGTTATTGTCGTTTTTGGCCTGTGTTTTGACTGGTAAGTTTTCCCCCGGCATGCGTAAATACACCGTGCGATGGCATTAACTAATTGGATATTACCAGGTTCAATCGGGTTCTTTGCCAGCTGGGTATTTATCCAAAGAATCTACAGGTCAATCAAGGTGGATTGAATGATGCAAAATGTCACTTCTGGATGGCGTGTAAGATAGGACATCTTATTCCTTTCTTAACTATCTTTATTAGCCTATATATTCCAAGGGGATTATGATGAATTGTTGGTCCAGAGTTCTTTGTCCATGTTGCCCCTATTTAACTCCTAGAGTTGATGTATAATGTTAGACTCTGTTTCATAATAAACAAAATTCAGGTTATCATTATAAGCAGCTAGCTATTTCAGATTCTCATAAAGGCCATTATCTCCAAAACAATATGCCCTACATGTTACTCCGAGGGCGATTCTTTCTGTATATGGTGTTTCTTCCAGCAACTGTGCAGACATATTCTAACACCAACAGCTATGGTACAATTTTGCAACGTATATACGTACACACATATATATGTAAGTGAAGCGGATGTCAGCAGGGTCAGGCTACACTGCTGTACAGGATATGGTCATATTTCATAACAAGCGTCTCGTCGTGGGCCCGGCAGTTTCTGCAGTTGTCGCGCGTATCACAAGTGGTGTGACGCGACAGGCACGAAGCTGAGCCACCAAGGGTATAAATGCAACGGTATAGGCAGGAACTACACTGCCAAGACGGCTAGGAGAGAGCCCATTAATAGCGTGAGGGCGGCCGACGGGTTCACCAGGGCAACGGCACCGCCCGTCTTGGAGGCGGAGGCAGCGGGATTGGTAACTGTGGCGGTCACGGTTCTTTCAGCGCCCGGCGTGGTGGGGGAGGCGCCAGAGGCAGAAGCGGTGATAGCGCCGGGGGGTGCGCCGAGCTCGCTGCCCGGAATAGCGGTGCCCTCACCCTTGGCGGTGAAGGGCTTGGGGAGGCGGAGGGAGGACAGGTTGGGACGGTCCTGGGGGGCAGCGGCGTAGATGTCTCCTGTGGCGCCGTCAGCGCGAGTGAAGTTGCCACGAATGAGGTCCACGGTGTCACGCGAGGGGGCGTTGTAGATGCCGGTGGTGATGGAGCCGTAGGAGCCGTCGAGGAGGTAGTAGTTGGTGGTGAAGCGGTCCTGGTAAGAGTCTCAGCGGGAATCTGTGGAGATAAGACAGCAGTGAGGGACATACCCAGCAGAAGGAAAGCTTGCGGTTGCGCAGCAGTAAACATTTCATGCTCGAGCGGCCTGGAAACAAAAGACACGGTTAGCGAGGATTCTGGAGTCAGCAGCAGCGGATGAGAGGCTCACAGCACAGACTGCCTTTGTCACTGTCGTCGCGGCGCTCGAGCGAGTGGCCCTCCACGCTGGCAACAAGATCGGTATACAGGCCGGCCATGTCCGGACCCACGGACGGCGGGACGGCATTCCGGTCGGTGCCAGCGGCGAAGCAGGGCGAGTAGTCGGCGGCACACTTGAGGGCAGCAACGGCGGGGGCGCAGCAGAGCAGGCCAGCGAGGAGGCGCATCGTGCGGGTGAGGAACGAATGGAAGCGAGAAAGCGAAGGAGGGAAGCCAGACAAGGCGAGAGGGTGGCAGAGAAACGAAGGGAATGAGACAGCGAGGGTCTCGACGGGCGTCAACGAGCGAGGATGCTCATGGGATGCGCGACCGGGCCTGCGAGCGAACGAGAGAGAGAGGAGAGAAGAGAGAGATGTGATGCGTCCAGAGCAACGAAGGGTCGATCGATCTATTCTTAGCCGGCGGCTGGCTGGACGGATGCACGTGGACTGTACGGCGCTGCACCGTATAGCATACGGCTGACTAACCACATCACGTGCATACATGCTGCTGATTAAGGGCTGACACAGCGAGAGCACGCCATCGCCGCGGCGCATGCTCTCATCACTTTCTGGCTTTCTCTTTGGCTTCACGCGACCGCGCGCTCCAGCACCACCCAGCATTTCTCCTCGCTTTCCCGCTCTCTTCGCCATGCCATCTGCCATCCTACCCAGCTCGCTTTGCTGCTCCCTCCCCGTTGCTGTCCCTCTCCCCCCATGACCCTGCTGGCCGCCCTCGATGTCGCCGATCAGGTGCATCTCATCATTGGCGCTGACGCCCTCGCCCTGTCGCGCTGTGCCAAATCCCTCGCTGCCGGCGCCCGCCCCGTTGTCGTGGCCCCAGGCGATGCCACTCTGCCGACCCCGCCGCTGCTCGAGCACGCCGACGTGACTTGGCTGCAGCGCGAGTTCTGCGACGCCGACCTGTGGACGCTGGGCCGCTCCACCGTAGACCACTACGTTGACGCCGTCTTCGTCGCCCGTCCTGGCGATGCCCGAAGTACGTGCATGCCACACATCCCACCCGCTTCGGGCTCCCTATGCTAAATCTCCTTCTCCAGACGCCCACGTCGCCCAGCTGTGCCGCCGCTGGCGCATCCCTGTCAATGTCACCGACGCCCCCGACCTGTGCTCCTTCACCCTGCTCTCCACCTACTCCGACGGCCCCCTCCACATCGGCATCACCACCTCCGGTCGCGGCTGCAAGCTAGCCTCCCGGCTCCAGCGGGAGATTGCCGCCTATCTCCCGCCCGGCCTGGGCAATGCCATCGAGGTTCTGGGGAATGTCAGGAATCAGCTCTATCGGGAGGACGTGCCAACCGCCGATGCAGGATCGTCATCCTCGTCACCACCCGCCACCTTGCCCTTTGAATCCGATGACGATGATACCACCGCCCAGAAGCCCACCTTCAACTCCCTCGTGCTTGCTGAAGACCCCACTGCCGCCAAGACCAGGCGGATCCGTTGGCTCTCTCAGATATGTGAGTACTGGCCACTTCGCCAGCTGGCTAGCGTTACCAACACAGACGTCGATCGCATCTTGACTGCTTATAAGGCGGCGAAATCTAACCTTCCCCCACCTTCCGACGCTGTCAGAAAGCACGGGACAATTATTCTGGCCGGTGCTGGACCAGGCCACCCAGATCTCTTGACTCGTGCCACTTGCCACGCAATCGCCAGCGCAGATCTGATTCTGTCGGATAAACTCGTTCCGGCCCCAGTACTTGACCTTGTACCCCGGCGGACGGAGCTTCGGATTGCACGCAAATTTCCTGGGAATGCGGATAAAGCCCAAGATGAGCTTTTGGAAATGGCTCTATCCGGCTTACACGCCGGCAAAAAGGTCCTACGCCTGAAACAAGGCGACCCGTATCTATATGGCCGGGGTGCTGAAGAATACGAATTCTTTCAAGCAAGGGGCTACCGGCCCATTGTTCTTCCGGGTATCACCAGTGCATTGAGCGCGCCCCTGTTTGCTGGGATATCTAGCACTCATCGTGGTGTGGCCGACCAGGTCCTTATCTGCACGGGAACCGGTCGACACGGCAAAGCACCAGACCCTCCCACCTATATTCCAACCCAGACTGTCGTCTTCCTCATGGCCCTGCATCGAATCTCATCGCTGGTGGAGGCATTGACAACTCCTTCGGACAGTAATACATCTGTACATCGGCATCCATGGCCTATTGACATGCCGTGTGCTGTGGTTGAGAGAGCTTCATGTGCGGACCAAAGAGTCATCCGCTCAACGCTCGAACATGTGTGTGCGGCGGTGGAAGCCGAAGGCTCGAGACCGCCTGGCCTGCTTGTCGTAGGCAAGAGCTGTGAGATCCTTCACCGTATCAACCAGAAATGGGTGGTGGAAGACGGCTTTAGAGGACTAGAAAATATTAGGGATTCTGGCATGGCTGGTGTTATTAATGCTTTGTGTCCAGAATCCGAAGCCTGAGGATGTCGGCTCTTTGCTTGATCTGCTTTATTGGAGTATCAAGAGTGGTGTGGCTATTCAACATGTATTTTTAGATGGTTTGCATGGAGTAACAGGGTCTTATTTTTACTTGCAGTGATCAGACAGAAGCGCATCCTATCGAAAACTCGAATGTATGACACCAGTTGAGGGTTCAGTCATTAATTCTGCCTAATTTCTCTGCTTTTCGAGGGTGCGTCTCACTGAGAGTCGTAGGAATAACAACAAGCGACCGCGTGGCGTATTGACGAGAAAACTGACTAGTAGTGGAGAGGAACTGTACTCCGTACCTCCATAAAAAAGCTAGACCCTGGTTGCAGATCACAACAACCGATAGTTATTGATTTGATACATACCTGTGCACCGCATGAGACCATGAAGCATGCGAAAACTGCTAATGCAACAGAATGTATCTCCATTATCGACCCGCAAGACCAACTGGTCTAGCCCCGCTGAGATTTACCACCCGGCCGCCCATTCCCCCGGCAGCACCTCCACCACCAGCAAATGGATTGGGCTGCTTGACCCAGCCGGGGACTTCTTCATCCTCTCTTTCGCGAGCGTAGATTGTCTGCCAGACATTTGGAAAACCTGTAGGTATGGCCCCCTTCGCCCGTGCACCAGGGATGGCGTATCGTGGGTTTCTGTGAGTGAGGTACCCACGCATGAGGTCCTGGGTAAGAAGGGATGCGAGAATTGATTCAATATCGTTAAGTAGAGGTGAGGTGTCGTGTCCATGGAGGGGTTTAGTTATCTGACCCATGCTCATCAACTCTTTAAATACTTCTCCAGAACCATCGTCGATGAGATTCGATTCATGCAGATCAGGTTCTGGGAGATCATCTGAACTGGCGACATCCACCCATTCGCCGGAATAATCAAAGTATCCAGTTGGGCTAATAAAATCGTCAAAGCTACCATCGCCGTAAGGCTCTCCTTCCAGTCTTGTTTCTGGGTCGAAATCAGGGTCGTTGGGAAATGAAACAAACTCACCACCAACAGCCTGTTTATTTACGAACAAGAGCCCCCCTTGGCCTCCCCTTTGAGATTTTAGCCATTCAACAGCAATTTCCAGCTTGTTAAGGTACAGAAAAGGTGGGGGGCCTTTCTGGGGCTGGAAACCGGCATTTCCATGAAAGCCGCCAAGTAAAAAAACTTTTCGGGCCAGTGATCGCCAGGTGAGGATTTCACACCTATTTCGAAGCTGAAGAAGTATGCCCTTTTCAGCGAACCAGTCCGCTTTCGGCGAGTTCTCCCCCAGATATTCTCGAAATGCCAACACATCACCACGAACGATGATCTGGCATATTGGTAAGAATTTGTCCCGCAGGGTCTCGCATTCTGGTTTTTCGAGGAGAGCAGCGGATGGGAACCGGCCCAGAATGATATTGCACGTAATCAGATATGAGAGAATCAGACGGCGCTGCTGTAGAGCCTGTCTGTGACATTGGTTATACGACGACTGGAGGGCGACCTGGGCTAGATAGAAAAGGTTGTTGGAGAAGAGGTATCTCCCAAGATAGTAGAGGTACGTTACTCGCTGAGACGCCGGAAAACATGAGAGCGGCGGTGACTGGGCATTGATACTCGCAAACATCTGCTCAGCATTTCGTAGCTTTCCGCACTGCCACAGGTAAAAGGTCAGACACGAAAAAAAGACAAGGTAGGACATTGGGGACCAGATACCAACCTTAAAGAGCAGCTTTAGGCATAAATTGGCCATTAGATAAATGCCCACCCTTCTGCCTTCTGGCTTGCCATGGATGCCTGGTGTCCCGGTGCGGTCCGTGAGACATTTGATAAAAGCTTCTCGCACAACGTTCGCTGATTTTTCGACGAGAGTGACCTTCTCGGTGGCCCCTTCTGAATCGCCTTCGTCGTGCACGAGGTGAGCAATCAACTCCGGACGCCGGTCCAGGCCAATCGCGAGCTTTGCCAGAACTTTACAGAGATGCAGAACGGTCGGCAGGACGATGACGCCGTACTGGCCATCTCCAAGGGCGACGATGCACTGACTATTACAAATATCATCAGACTATTGAAGTCCAGCCGTCTTGTTTCACAGGGCTTTGGTGCACATACTTCAGCAGAGCTCTCAGCAGCTCATATGTCTCCAGCAAGTTATCCAAATCCACGTCTCGCAGAAAGGTAAAGTACAGTCGCATAAACGGCGCAAACGCAGTCCATGAGCTCCCACTGTCGGAGGCGGGGGCGAGAGATTCACATTTGACCCGCAGCGACTCGTCGCTGGCGTGGGCGGGATGAGCAGCACGTAGTTCGGCGACCATCTGGTGGTAGACGGGCGAGAGGGGCGGCTCGAGCTGCAAAAAGTCCTGCAATTTCGCGCCATCACGAGCCTGGACGAGGCCGCGAACGGCGACGACGAAGTTATCGAAAACAGGCGTGGGCGTGGGCGTCGTCCACATGGCGGATCGATATCGAGGGTCGTGAGAGAGAGAGAGAGCGGCGAGTCGGAGGCTCACACCGACGTCGCCGCCACAGCACAGCACGCGAATGGCCAGCGAACGCCCAACAGGAGTAGTATCCAGTCACAGCTTTAAACCGCCTTTCTATGTGCCTGTCTAGAGGAGGAATAACTGATCCAAAACTGTCTGGGATCTAGTCTACGAAGTATAGTTACAGTACCGATCTTCGTATATAGTTATATATACGTTGCACCAAAGGACCTAAAATAATATATTCACATAAGATCAAATAAAGCGCCTTTTCGGGCCCTATGGGGATAGGATCCATCGCGTAGAAAATATTAGCCCACAGCTGGTATCGTCCTTCTGTACAATCCGGCATTGTAGCCACAGATAAGTCAGAAATGGAATCGCCAATCCCTACGAGGAGCTCGCCGGGTCCAGCATGGGCCGCTTACTTCTTCCACCCTGCAACCTTCTTCCGCCGCTTTTCGAAGCTTTCTCCCACGCTGTGACTCTGTGGCCCATCGTTGGTCAGCCGTCTTTTCCTGCTTTTTTCTAACGCCCTGCTCGTGCCTCTACCATGGCTGGTGAGCTGCCCAATTCGATCGGCATTCTCTCCAAGACTCCTCCAGTCCTCACCACCAAATCCATCTTGTTTTCTTCCTCCTCTCCGATCCTTTTTGCTTTCCTTAGGCAGTCGCACAAAGTTGGTTTCCTCATACGCCCGTCGCTCGCCTTCAATCTCTCTCTCCCGCTGCGTACGCACTTCTCTCCCCCTGGCCCTAATCGTACTACCGATACTAGGCTCTGCAACTGGTACTGTGGACATTTCAGCACTAACAAACTCATCGATGACGCGGGATTTACCATGCCCGCGAGACTTGGCAGGCAGAGCAGTAGGCTTGATTTTTGGGGGTCGATAGATCCCATCTCCCAACTTCGATGCTGATGGAATGCCGTTCTCGGCTTCTTGAGTTGCTTTTGAGAGCCCAGCAAGATTTGGCCGATAAGCAAGCTTGTCGACTTCATCTTCATGGCCACTGCTTTCAGAGCCACTTTCACTGCCGGCATCACTCTCTGTGGATGAATTCTCATGTTTGCTATTGGAGTCTTGTCTGCTTTGCTTTTTCCTTGTTGCTCTCGTGAAGTGCCGAGTCCTTTCAGCATCATCTGCCGCTTTCAGAACTTTGTCGATCTGATATTTCAAATGTGCTTCCAGAGGCCTGACACCTCTTTTGAGATAGATTTGTAGCTCAGTGAGCTTTTGTATAGTGTCTTTCTGAAGCAGCTTGTGATCGTTCATTGACATTGAGGGCTTATCTGGCAGCTGGCGAAGTTGGAGAAGAAATAAAAAGACAACATTTTGAAGATATGAGAGAAAGATTTCGTTTTTTGTATTCAAGAGTGAAATGCCATTTGGTGGAGGGTGGAGGGAGACAGCATTGGAGGTTGTGGGGTGAGGTGATGCTGTTGGCAATGATGAAGCGGCAGAAGAGAGGCAGTCCATGACGACCTCCATGGCATACGACGCGTTTTCGATATTCAGGGCTGCGAAGCTTGACCAGCAAATGTGGGCGCGGATATTTTTTTGGGAATACCGGTAACTAGTTCATTTACAGGGAACTAGACAGTGCAAACCAAGCAAACTTAACCACCACCAAGCCCACCTTGCAACATCTCATGCTCTCCCACCCAAGGGCCAACACTATCACGAGCGTACATACCTTCCCCCTGGCCCCATGCTGCTTACGCAGCCAGCCGTCATCTACATAGCTGATGTGCAACTGTCATCCGATTGCCCTTGGCCCTCCTTCTGAATGCTGCATAGATGGGCTGTGCAACATACCTCATCCGCCTGATTTACGCCTGGTGCCACCTGCTCCCAACCGACTGCCACCTTTGATATCATATCCACGTGTGGCGAGATCTACAGGCAATCTCGTGCGGTTAGCGCTAGGCCTTTGCACTACCCGCTTCACTACTCCCAGCCTGCCCGCATCCGATGGCAAATCTTGCCCTTATCCATTTGTCTTAGAGCTGATTGTTCGAACCACGCTGCGTCCTTTTCGGCCAGCGTGTTAGAGCGCTTCCTTGTGAAGACAATGGACTACCCATCATCGACTCCAGTTCGCCGTGGATTCCACCTGTGCCTCAATTGTCTATTTGTGAGGATTTGTTCTGTGCAGCCACTGCTGGGGAACAAGTCGAGAAGGTGTCTCTCTATCTGCCCCTCTACCTATTTTAGTACTACATTTTTGACTGCCCTCCGTATAATCGAAATCTCGGGTTGGTTCGTCGCATAACATCCTTTGCTATTTACGAGACAGTCCATTCCATTCCCCTGTACTGCCTCGGCCTACCTAGTGTGCGCTACTATGAAAAGCGCCTCTCACGAGAGACTGTCCTTCGCCAGAATCCCGCGTGCGCACTGGTGCTACTACCACGAGTTGCCCAACGCGTTGTCCCGATAACTGTTCCCCATCTCATTCCGCGGCCAATTCCGACCAGACTCTGTCATGTGGTAGCTATACCACTTATCTCTCTTCGCACGCCACCTATTTTGCTTATGGTTTCATCTTTCTTATTCTATCTACTATGAAGGATAGATATTTTGCTGTCTTAAGTATCATAGCCGGCGGGAGCCCTTGCCGTTCCGCTTGAGTTCTGCCCCCCTTTTGCAACCACCAGCCCGCTTGAATATGAGCCCGCGACAACTCCGATCAGCTGTCACATGTTGATCTTGTTGGGCCCAATATCTGCCACTTCCCTCGTCCCTTTAGGAACACCTGCTTGACCTCCGCCCACCCACACTATCGTTGAAGCCAATGCTTTGAGCCTTTGGTATTTGGGGCCATGCCATACCAAGAGCAGTTTATTGCCAGAAACCCAACACCTTGAGCTAAAATTTGTGTCCTAAGAAAGTTTCAGGACCCATATCACAGTCATTCAGTCTCCTTGTGGCTAAATAGTAGATATTCACAATGTGACATTGATGAGTATCACCCGATTGTATCTCAGGAAGTACTCGTATTACCGCGGAGTTATAGAGCCCTCGACATGGTCGTACTATGTCTCTGGATCCCCAGAATTGCTTCGTGTGATTTGACTGACTTCTTTCTTGACCCGTTTCATTCCTTTGAATTGTGTTGTCTTCGCTGTGCCGGACGCCGCCGGACCATCTACCCTCCTCTATCGTGTTTGACAGAGCGAAATTCCAATGCCCTCGGCAAAAAATGCCCTTGTGTGGTTACACTCTGACCTGCAAGCTTTGATTAGGCATACGGGATGCGGACCTGTGTGCTCCTTTTCAGCCGTGCGATCAGTAACTATGCACTATAAAGACACCCACCTAACCCACAAACGATGGGCTACCATTTTACGCGACTCTATTTTTACCAAGGCCTGATACTAACCCCTTTCACGATGGGATTCATTAAGACTCTGATCGTCACTTTTGCGGTCTTATTGGCCACAGATGCTGCAAGCTTGATAGATATTGCCGACAAGAAGGATATCATTCCTGACTCGTACATCGTTGTTATGAAGGAGTCTGTATCTCCTTCATCCTTCGACGCCCACATCACCTGGGCTACCAATGTTCATAACGGCACTATTGCCAAACGAGGCTCCACGGCCGCTGGTGGAATGAAGTACGTGTACAGGATTAATGGTTGGCACGGATATAGTGGCTCGTTCGATCGCGAGACTCTAAACAAAATCCTCCAAAATGCCGACGTGAGTACAACTAACGATCCCGTCGAAAGCATCGAGTTGTAACATGAATAGGTTGACTATGTCGAGCCAGACCGCCGTGTTCAATTAGCCACTTGGGTCAGGCAAAGACATGCCCCGTCATGGGGTCTCCCTAGAATTTCGAACCGTGAAAGGGGCAGCAGCGATTTTATTTATGATGACTCAGCTGGTCGAGATATCACCATCTATGGCGTTGATACCGGCATTGATATCTTGCTACCTGAGTTTGCTGGCCGTGCTACTTGGGGTGCTAATTTTGCGGGCGGGCCAAATAGGGACGAGCATGGTCACGGAACGCACACTGCTGGTACCTTTGCTGGAACCAGGTTCGGTATCGCCAAAAGGTCAACAATCGTTGCAGTGAAGGTGCTCAATAGGAACGGCAGCGGCACGTGGGCTGGCATTATCCAGGGTATCAGTTGGTGTGTTGACCATGCCCGCCGAACGGGAACCCTTGGGAGAGCCGTGATGAATCTCTCGCTGGGAGGAGGAAGAATGAATTCCGCAAATCAAGCCGCTACCAGAGCCCAGGATGCTGGAATATTCCTGGCAGTGGCTGCAGGAAACAGCAATGTAAGGAACACTGCCGATTGGAGATATCTTGAATGGCTGACATGCAGTTACCAGGCCGATGCTACCAATACATCTCCTGCTTCTGCAGCTCGCGTATGCACTGTCGCTGCGTCAACCGATCAAGATACCAAAGCCTCGTTTTCCAACTGGGGGGCACCAAGTTAGTCTTCTTAGCTTTTTCTTTCTTTTGTGCTAACAATCTGGTCCAGTCAAGCTTTACGCTCCAGGCACCAACATCACCTCCGTTTTGCCGGGCGGTATGCCTGGGTCTATGTCAGGCACGTCCATGGCTGCTCCCCATGTCGCCGGTGTCGGCGCTGCTATTATGGCACTCCACCGGATTCCCCCTTCTGCTGTCTGCGCCCGTCTCATCCAGATGGCTGAGGGTCGTATTAGGAACCCTGGGGCTGGCACTACGAACAAGCTTCTCTACAATGGCAGCGGAAGCTAAAGCAACATACTCTCAGCAGTCGTGCTTTCCTTGTATTAGAGCAAGGATGGTATTGACTTCTACATGCTGATCGCTTTCATATTCAGAACAACCTTGAGATTTTTCGGTAAATAGACAGACGTAGCGTTCCCCGAGTGGTCAGTTGGTGGCATCATTTAGCTAAATATGGCCATTTAATAAGCGATGTGGTTGTGGCCTGGTGTAGGGTGGTATACAGAGACAGTCGTATGTAACAGTCTGTGTTCACAGGCGGAAATATAGGAAAGCGGAAGCTTGTTGATCGCAAATTCTTTTCTATCCTTGAGCAATTTCCATAGCCGCTAAGAGTTTCCCCAACCTCATAACAAACCCTGGCGCGTGCGACGTAGAAGTGGCATTAGAGGACTTGACAGAAAATCCCCTGGCTGACTAAGCACCCTCATTCTCACATCATGTTGAGCAGGAGTCAGGTGACTTGTCAGGTGACCAGATCTCCAAAGGAGGAACCAGAGAACTGTAGGTTCGCCACCTCCTCTTCTTGACCATGGTACCAATTTCATTATCTTTGTCTACCAGGCTGGCAGAGGTTTGCTAGGGGTTTTTCATATGTTTTTCTCATAGTCTTGATTATAGCATGTTTGTCTATAAGTATTCTTGTCTTGTTCATTAGAAGCAGATCTAGACACAATATTATAGACACTCAGTCACATGATCATCATGTGCTTCTGTGTTGTTCAATAGTTATGAGTCTGAGCTCTTTCAAGAATTTGATTATTATCTAAAGATACATTCAAAATACTTTATTTTACTCTTGTTACCCATACAAATAGAGGTCACTATTAAGTATCTTGAGATCATACATTGAACCCTCTATTTAAGCTTAAATCTTAATTGTGGAGTTTGCAGAGATCTAACACATCTATATAATTTTTACTGATCTAAGTCTACAGAAAATCATAATATAGAATTAATGTCTCACTTCAATAATTAATTAAAAATAAATGAATTATCTAGAAGAGTTGTTATGCTGAATAGTTCTGATAATTGAAAAGAATGAATTAAAGACATTAAGCATTTAGCAAATCTTCACTGATTGTAATTATATGTTGATTTAACAAAAGAAACACATTCTGAACTTCAGAAACTTATTATAGAGAATTTTCTTTCTTCTAAAAAAACTGAAGAAACTGCAACTTCTGCAGATACAAAATATGCAAGAAATATGCAAAGAGATTAATATAGAACTTAAGAGAAGAGAGTCTTAGTGATGCAAGAGCTACAGAAAACAATAAGAGACTGTGTAGATTCATCTCTGAGAATTTTTACAATAAGTAAATCAGATAATGTAGAAACTACTGCAAAAGAACATCTGAAGACTCTATATGCTAGAAATGCAGTGAATGCTTCTCAATTGAAAGATAGACTAGTAGAGAAATTTAAAACTCTCAAAGAAGAGTTAAAGAATCAAGCAATTGAAGTATATTTACTAAACTATGAAGAAGTATTGAATCAGATAATTATGTACAATATGTGTGAATATATCTGTAAATCTTTTGTCTTGAAACAATTTCTGAGAGCAATCTCTTCAAATTATAGAGAGTTCTTCTATACATATCTATCTAAGCTTCTAACTGAGAAGAATTTGAATCAGAAACATGAGCTGAATGTTTATAGACATATTTAAATATTTTGGCAGTTATTAAAGAAAGATACTGAGCCAGATCAAAGTAATAAGCTGTCAGCATATTCCACTGAAAGAATCATTCAAAATAAATCATCAGAAGAGAATACTGAAAGTACAAACTCTACATATCTTTACAGAAAGCAACATGATTGGGCATACTGCTCATATTTTAATTCACTTATTCAATCAATGAGCTGGAAATCAGATCCAAAAATTGATAATAAGATCAAGAAAGCACTGAAGAATTCAGTGAACAAAAGAAAATTAAAGAAAAAGATTGCAAATTGAAAGAAATCAAAGAATTTGAATACTACTGAAGAAGTTAGTGCTTCAGACAATGTGACAAATAGTGATGCTAACAAAGTTATTGTCAAGACATTTTCTAATTCAACTATCTTTGCTTCTGTAATGATTTTTAACTCCACTAACATGAGCAATAAATATGAATTCTATTCATTACAGAACAGCTTCATATTAGATGAGAATGCAGATGCACATATTTGCAATGATTTTATAAGATTTCAAAACTATCAGAATGTTGATTCTTCAGATATTGTGCTTGTTGAAAATACTCATTGTAAAATTCATGAATATGATGATGTTAAAGTTTATACTTAAATGTCAGCAGATGCTGGCAAGATATTACTAAAGAATGTTCTCTACATTTCTGACTTTCATAAAAATCTAGTGACACACAGATTGCTGTGTGTGAAGAGTTGTTATTTAAATGATGAGTCTTTTATGATTTACTATACCAGCACAAGAAATATTCTGTTCAATTTGACTGTTAAAGAGAGAAAAATGATTGTTGAATACAGATCTATTAACATTGCAACAGACAGTATAATGAAGAGTGTCTTTACTGTCTTGTTAAATGAAGATTTGATTAAAAAATTAGTGATGATGTTGGTCTTCAGTTCACTAGAAATCATAAATATTTGACATCTGAGACTTAATCATCTGAGCAGAAAGTCTTCAGCACATCTTTCAAAGATGTCTATCAACATGAAATTTAAAAAGATTTCTCAGAGTTCTCTAACAGTGAAGTGCAGATCTTGTGCTCTTTTAAAAGTAAAGTAAATTATACACAGAATGCTGTTGAAAAGATCTACACACCCATTCATAAAGATGTCTGTTGATCTCATACAGTTTACTTCAGATTATAATGGAGATAGATGAATGATTCACTTATATTGTGATTATATTCATCTGCACTATGTGAAAATGATGCAGTGAAAATCTGAAAGTTTAATGTGCACAGCAAAAATGATAAGAGTAATTCTCAATTTATATCAATTGACTATTTTGACTATTTAAATTGATGAAGAAATCTCTATGCAGTCAGAACTGACAGCTTTGACTCAAACATATGATATAGTTGTTCAACATTCAGCATTCTACACCTCAACTTAAAATGAAGCTGCAGAATGTGCAGGAGCTTTAATAATAACAGCAGCATGTATAATGTAAATTGAAGTCAACTTGTCTGAGAATTTGTGACCAGAATGTGTCAAGACTGCAGTGTATATTTTAAACAGAATTTCAGTTAAAGATCTTAATTAAAACACTTCTCTTAAATTCTTAGAGAAATATCTTTGGACTGCAACTTCTTGAACTGAAATTAGACATATAAGAGTTTTTGGCTGCAGAGTGTATTCTTTAATTAAGAATGCACAATACAGAAGAAATCAGAAACTGACTTCTAGAGCAGAAGTTGAATATCTCATTGAATACAAATCAATAAATATTTTTCACATTTGGATTTCAGTATGACAAAAGATTATATTAACAAGAGACATTATATTTAACAAAGATACACTATTCAATTCTAATGAGATTAGCAGTGAGCTTTTATTATAGAAGAGCTTTGTTGTGCTGGATACAATATCTTTCATTGAAGTAAGTGATATTAACAAAATGAGCTTGAGTGAGCATGACAGTGAAGATAAAGACTCTGAGAAGAATACATCATGTGAAAGTCACAAAACTGTTGATCAGTTAATAGAATCAACAGAAACAATGACTAAGACACTAACTAATCAATTAAAAGAGATACATGCATTATTAACATCAGAGTCTATATCAGAACTATCAGCTTCAGACATTTACATTTAACTTTTTTCAGATGATTTAACAACATCATCAACTGAAATAGAGACACTGAATCAACTTTTATTGACAGTCAATCATTCTGTCATGAAAGCTACAGAGATGATGAGTGATATTATAGTTAAGTCATCTGAAGATATAACATCTACTACACTTTCTGCCACTAGCTCTACAGAGATGGTGAGCACAAATAACAGACAATTAATAGTTAATTGTTCTGTCACAGAGATGGTGAGCACTAATGATGAGATTTCAACAGTCAATCATTTTGTCATGAAAGCAGTGAATGACTCAGCTGAAGCAAGCTTAAACAAGCAATCTTCATCTTCTAGATGAAGTGCTAGAATAAGAAATCAAAATGCAGATTAAATTGACAGATGAACAGCTTATATAGTGATTCTGCAGCAAACAGCACAATTGAATTCATTTTATAGAGACTATTTAACAGCTTTTACAATTACAAATTCTAGACTTCACAGAGAGAATTTTTCAAAGTCTCTAAAGCATTATTTTTCAATGTTGCAACATCTGCATGCTGATGAGTTTAAGACTGCCATGGATGTGGAAATGAAGAAGCTATGAATGAAAAAATGCTTTAAAGAAGTAGAGAGCTCAGAAGAAATATGTTCAATCTCTTTAATATGAATTTATACATACAAATTTGATGTTAATGGTTTTTTGAAATGTTATAAGACAAGACTTGTTTTTCATGAAGATCTGAATATCAATAATAAACATGACATCTATACTGCTACTCTAGCTGTGTGAATATTTTGTCTTTTAATGACTATAACAGCTTATTTTAAAATGAAGATCTTTTAGATTGATGCTGTTAATGCATTCATTAATGCTTCATTTAATAAATCTGTTTATTGCAGACTGACAGAGAGTTACAGTAAGAAAAGAGATGTTTAAAAAATTCTATATGTTTTATACAGTCATCTTAAATCTTCATGACTTAAGTATGAAGACCTTACTTCAACACTCTGAGAACTAAAATTTCATCAAATTTATGAAGAATTATGTCTATTTATTGATAAGAATATTATTATCTTCTTTTACATGAATGACATAGTATTTTTATATCACAGAAAGAATGTTGGAACATTTGAGCAGTTATTAAGAAATCTACAGACACATTATAAGTTTTAAGAGATTGAAGAGCTAGAGTGATTTCTAGATATTTATGTCTTACACAATAGGGATTCTCAGAAGCTTTGACTGTGTCAGAATAGTTATATTGAGAAGATTGCTAATAAGTTCAATCTTATGAAATTAAAGTCATTATGTATGTCAATGATAACTGCAGATATAGCTTCTTATATGGGGGTGCAAAATAAGCAATAAGTACATGCTTATCAACAAAAAGTTGATTCAGTTCTCTATGCTGCTATTATAATGTGATCTGATATTTCATTTGCTACTGCAAAATTAAGTGAGACTTTGATTAACTCAGAATCAGAACATCATACAGCAATTGAGAGAGTTATTTCATATGCTTTTTCAATAAAGTATTATGCTCTTGAATTTCATGTCAAGAAGAAGTTGAATACTCAGAGTAATAATAATAATAACAACATTATTAACATTCTTTTAATAATTGTCAGTGATTCTTCTTTTGCAGATAATTTGAGCTCTAAATACTTCTCTCAGAACTTTATATTTAAGCTCTTCAGAGACTTAATTAATTAAAAATTCTTTAAACAAAAGACTGTTACAACATCTTCAATGAAAGCTGAGCTTTTAGCACTATTCTATATGACAAAAGAGACCATATGATGGAAACACTTATTTAAGAATATTATGTTGAAATTAGAAAGAGATTTTAATATTTTATGTGATAATTTGCAGATGATTTATTTACTGATTTCAGTAGCTTCACAACTAATCATCAAGCTTCATCACATTAATATTCATCATCACTGATTATGACAAGCAGTTACTAATAAGAAATTGAATATTAGCTGAATTGAAAGTGATAATATGTTTGCAGATGACTTAACAAAGATCTTGTCTAGACAGAAATTTAAAAAATTCATTAAACAATTGAGACTCTTGAATATTAATTATTTAACAGAGAAGAGTTCACTATCTATATCACTGTCAAAACTATAAGAATGTGTTGAGCAGAAGTCAGATAACTTATCAGATGATTAGATTTTTAAAGAAGAAACTGAAGAACTGTAAATTTATCATCTTCTTTTCTTGATCATAATACTGATTTCATTATCTTTGACTATCAGACTGATGAAGATTTGCTAGAAGTTTTTCATATGTTTTTTCCATAGTCTTGATTATAGCATGTTCATCTATAAGTATTCTTGTCTTGTTTGTTAGGAGCAGACCTAGACACAATATTATAGATGCTCAGTCACATGATCATCACGTGCTCCTGTGTCGTCCAATACATCACCCAAACAATGTAGGCGACAAACAGCAAACCACCAGTGCAGAGAGCGGCCATCATGCCTAGCCATGTGGAGCTGAATGCATACCCCTCATGCTATGAATGTATATCATGGTCAGATGATGGTGAGCTTGCTATTGCGGCTGGTGACGGTGTCCATATTCTGGTCTGGCATAACACTCCCTAATGTTGAAGATGGTATAATCCTGATCAATCCTTTGTAGACACCCAAGCCTGCCTCACAGCAGGAGCTACACAGTTCCAGCAAAAACAGTCAATGGAATACGACCAAAATATGCACCAGTACTTTTACACAAGATGAGTGGCCTGTGATGCTCCCCCTTGGTGGGCGGACATTCTCCGTTGGCGAGGAGCAATCTCTGAGCCATGTTAGTGCTTTAGCTTGGTCTGCACCTGGCTTGGCAACTTATCGGCGCTGCTCGTTAGCGGTATTGACCAGCAATTTGTTGCTGTCTCTCTGGGATGTAGTCGATGGAGCGCTCAGGTGGACACGCATTGCTATCGTCAACAACAAAGTGAGAGAGTATTTTAGTGCCTTATCCGATGATCCCGACCTTCTTGCAAAAAAACAGAGAATCAGGTCTTTTACGTGGACCACTCCCTGTAGCTTGTTTGATGGATTTGAACCCCCGAGCTCAGATGCCCCAGGGATGTTGGGAAAATGGGGTGTTCACCTCCTCCTGGCATCTAACGACGCAGGTGATGTAATCGTGATCAGAATGAATCCAGGCACAAAGAAAACTGGATTCGACCTCGAAGTGATCTGTCATCATTCTCTCACACCATCGTCAACCCATTTCCTATTCAACTCCGACTCCCTCTTCGCGAAATCCTTGGGAGAGAGACGAGTTGCCAAATATATGGCGTGTACGCGGTGGAACATAGCACCGTCAGGGGAGGAAGACGGGTCGGTATCCCTCGTCGCCACTGTTGCTTTTATCTGCAGCTCCGAACTCAGGCTACTACAACTACAAGCCCGCTTCAGTTTTGAAAAAAACACATGGTTGATGCATCATGATTTTCACATCAACGAAGTTGGTATTCCTATAACCGCTAGTGAACAGAATAAATTTGTGGGGCCAGTGGCCTGGATCTACGAAGTTAAGCTACAAACCCCAAAACTCTTAAGCATCTGCTAACTAGATCCAAGGATACCGAGCCTCGGTGGTTAGCCGTAGGGGTGCTCGGTACTGTTTGTATAATTCTCCTCGAAGGATCAGATAGGAATGTGATGAGATGTGTGCTGAAAGGGCATAAAACTTCTCACCCTGAGGACTCAAACACTGACCTCCCCCTGGATTACTCACCCATTAGTTGTAAGGATGCCAAAGGGTTGTGAGACATGAGATTTCTAATTTATGTAGGTATAACTACAGCATATGATGCCTCGTCGTTCGTCGGTTTTGTGAATTTCACCAAAATAATGTTTGATGGCGGCCGCCAGATGGCGTTGTTTTCGAAGCAAATCGAAGATGTAGACGCCAGCAACTTACTAGAAACCGAATGGGGAAAGGCTATCGAGAATTGCCGTGCTCTATTTGATTTGGACAATGATCTTGGAGGAATGGCAACTGCAAGGGTATGGGGTATGTCTAGGTATCATGAGTGGATTGCGGTGTGCTTCACTGTTCACCCTACAGACATGGTAGAACACCTGACCGCCTCTCACTCACGCCTTCGGGTCTCATTCTGCCAAGCCCACAAGATTTCCGAAGGTCAAACAGACGTGATGCCCATGTGGCGTGTTCCGCTGCAGCATGACTCGTTAAAGGCAAGATACCGGGTGCTTGAATATACATTGAGTCAACAACACAGGTCCGTCCCTGAGGATCCCTCGCTTAAGAGGTTGGTGTATTCTGCTTGCTGTTCCGTGCTAGTATGTCCGGACCGCGAGAAGCAGATATTACGCCTGGTGCGATCGGCACTCTCATGGCTTCAGGAATCTTCGGGTTTGGACTTGATGACGGAAATTTCCTTTTTAAATCGGCTGGAAATATGTCCGGATGATAATGCTGATGTGCACTGTATCATTCCGGCGAAACCCCAAGATCAAATCGACAACCCTGCAGGAGAAATTTTGGAGATATGCGAAATATGCAGATCCGGGATAGGATGGTATTCCAATACGGAGTCGCAATGCTTCGAAGGGCACGTCTTCGTTCGCTGTGGTATTACCTCGCTGTCAATACAGAACCCATCGATATCCTGTTTTTGCAGCCGTTGCGGACAAGAGTATCTGGACCGATCTCGCTTGATAGCTGAAAGCATCTTGCCCGAGGATTACGGTCAAAAGAGACTCCTGTCTGAGATCCTAAATGTGTTCGATACATGTATCTACTGCCAGGGCAAATTCCGACGTTAACCAGCCACTGATGAGATCTTGCGCCTTTAGCTCGCTGAGTCAGCTAGTTAACAGGTACCTAACTAGTTAGTGAATCAGGTGATCAACTAACTAAATTAGTGTCGGATATTATTTCCTCCGTCACGAGCCGAGGCAACTGCAGGCGCCCGATTCAGGCACAGACTCCATCACAAGCAATGACAGGGAGCGAATATCGAACACCGCAACCACATCTCCCACGCCCGCCCAAAACCGCCAGCAGTTGCTGTTTTTACTGAGCGATCCGTCGGCCGTGAGCCATTTGCGATATACATAATGGCAACAGAAGCTTCTACTTCTGTCCCAGCCCCCGACGGCGTCCCCCCTGCGCACGAAGGGACGAAAGCGGCTCCCGTTTCCGGTACCAACGCCACTCTTGCTCAAGTGCGCTCATTTGTCGCGGGCGGTGTCGGCGGTATCTGTGCTGTGGTTGTTGGGCATCCCTTTGATCTGGTCAAGGTGCGGTTACAGACAGCAGAAAGGGGTGTGTATACCGGTGCGATCGATGTTGTAAAGAAGACTGTGGCCCGAGAAGGTCTTGTAAGAGTATGTGTAACGGATATGTCATTTTCTTAATAATTACGCTAACCTATCAATTTTCAGGGTCTTTATGCGGGCGTGTCTGCTCCTTTAGTTGGCGTTACGCCTATGTGTAAGGCACCGTCTTCACACATATAATTATACATCATACTAATGTAGTACATCTTCTCAATAGTTGCCGTCAGCTTCTGGGTAAATTATAGACTCCTATTTTTAACACCATCCGTCAATACTAATGCCTACCAGGGTTACGATTTAGGGAAAACGCTTGTCAGAAGCGTCTATGCCGTCCCCGAGCATAACGGCACACCTCAATACACCATTGCCCAGATATCTGCTGCTGGTTTTTTCTCCGCAATCCCGATGACTTTAATTACGGCACCCTTTGAGCGGGTCAAAGTCTTACTGCAGATCCAAGGCCAGAACCCTCCACCCCCAGGCCAAAAGCCAAAATATTCAGGTGGTGTTGACGTGGTTCGACAATTATATAAGGAAGGTGGGATAAGAAGTGTGTTTCGTGGTAGTGCAATGACTCTTGCCCGTGATGGCCCCGGCTCCGCGGCATACTTTGCTACCTATGAATACATCAAGCGGAGCCTAACGCCAAAAAATAGCAATGTTGAGCCTACTGGAGAGCTCTCTCTTCCAGCCATCGTCACTGCTGGTGGTGCTGCTGGCGTAGCGATGTGGATTCCTGTCTTCCCTGTTGATACGATCAAATCACGGTTGCAAAGCGCAGAAGGTCGACCGACCATTGGGGGTACCATTCGTGGCGTATATGCCAGTGGTGGCTTGAAAGCATTTTTTCCTGGTTTCGGTCCAGCCTTGGCTCGTGCAGTGCCAGCGAATGCTGCCACATTGTAAGTTGATTGACCTTTGGATCCTTGTATTGAAATAGCCATTTGCCTAACGTGAATTCTAGCTTGGGTGTTGAACTCGCGCATAAAGCCATGACGAAGTTATTTAATTAAGATAGTCGACAGTTTTCTTATTCATGACATATAGATTTTTTGGGCAACTTTCCATTCAGTTCAACACTTGATAACAGCATGTTGCTATACTTTGTCTTTTTCATAGCGTTCATCAAACGATCTCTTTTCAGCATTTGAATGGTGGATGAGGCTAGAAATAAAGTGCATATTGATGTTGTCAATACTCTCTTATGGGTATGTTTTTGAATGGTATATTTGGGTGTATTCAGAAGTCTCACCCCAGCGTCGCATGAATATTGCTTCGTTTGGGCGATGTCTGGAAAGGGCTTTCTTTCTACATCCAAACTTGTCCAGTAGCGTTACCAGTTTGCGTTTTTTTCGTAATTGGATAGGGCAAATTACAGCAGGAGAGAAGTGGTTTCATTCGCCATCTTTAGGTGTTTTTAAACCAACCGCAAGAGTTTTCCTGCAACCGAGTCCCATTCATCACCCCATCGCCTTCTGCTTGCGTTCCTTGCGCCGTGTCTAAGAGATTCCAAATCGGACCGGTCCTGACCGAAAAGGTCGATAAGTTGTTTCGAGAGCTCCTCAGCACTACTAAAACCCCTTCCGTCTACTCCCTCAGTTACAAGCTCTGCCCAAGCCTCATATTTGTTCCAGCCAACCACTGGAAGGCCAGCACCAAACATATCTACAACCTTCATCGGTAAATCCACCCCACTACTGCTAGTATGGAGACATACTCCAAGAGAAGAGCAAGCAAGGAGCCTTGCATAGTTTTCTATGGTAAGCCAGGCACATGTGATGCTGACTTTTTTCAACTTTCCAGTTTCGATCAAACTCTCAACTATTTGAAGGTACATTCTTTGCTGCGGACCTTTTCCAGTGATGATAACATGGAGTTCCGGGAGGCTTGTATTGGTCGTGGTCGCATAGGTAGAGTATTGGCAGAGGGCTTGGAGAAGCAAAGAGAAATCCTCATCAGGAGTCCAAGAGGTAGAACTGACAAGGAGCTCAGAGCTTTTACCTGAAAGGGCATGATGCGCAAATTCTCTTGTTTCTGGGAGTGAAGTAAGAAATTCAAACCTTTGCTTTTGATTTGTAATTGGTTGGAATAATGATGCTGGGCGATCGTGGAGGACTAGCACTGTGCTGCCAATGTTCATTTTTGCTCGTAGAATGCTGGCCATGGCGTTGCTCACACAAAAATGGGCAAAAGCCATACGGGAAAGTGTCATTTCATACCATTTCATGAGCCAGACCATTGGGTGACTCTGGCCCAGTTTCAGGGCTAGGATCGAGAAACCGAAGTTATGCCAATCAATAATCAACCGGCTATTTCGCAGCCAGCAAGTGAGGAGAGCAAGAAGTAGGGTTGGAATTGCAGGGGGGTTCTGAGGAACAAACGGCGCAGAGAATCTTAGTTTTTTAAACAGACAAGGCGCTACAATGATGCTCAAGCATATAAAGGACTGTAACACTGGGAAGGATAGGCATACCTGAATAATCATCCATTCTGCCGGATCAGAGGAATAAGTAAGGGCCATCCACAAGCTCCAAATTTGTTGAATGACCTTCAGGATACTGAGTAGCGGGAATAACACAGCATTGTTCGTCTGTAGTAAAACGGGGGGCGGAGGAAGGGGAACGATGGTCACGAGAGGGTCTGATAGAAGATCTGGATTGGGAGGAGACACTATTGGCACGCATTATTGTCGGTACGAGGCAATAGCTGCAAAAGTCAAGAATGACTGCGAGAGTACCTTGATATCCGATAATTGTTACACGCCCACCATGCTTTGCTACACTCTGCGCATGATACTGCATTCTAGGACTATGTCCAATATCCCCAAGGACGACTATCTGAACGGAAGTAGCAGAAATACTTCCGATTTCCCCTATCGTGCGGCGGGTCGGTCGAAGCCAGACGAACCCAAAGAACAGGAGAGGGGGTAATGAAAGGCAGACCGCGAGGACGAGATGAACGGCGGCCATGAGAACTGAATCTCAACGCAGAGAGAGAGCCGGCGCGATGCTGGCATGATACCCCAATGTCGCGGTCCGCTGGTGCTGAAGGAAGAGTGGCTGCTCGCGGCCAACAAGCGCTGTTGGGCCTGTTTGCATGTGTGGCCGCATGCGGACTAGTTCATCACCTAGTTTAGGTAGTTAACTACCTACCTAATTAAGTAGCTGACTAACCCGTGATCTGCAACCCCAGTCTTGGCATCGTGCCCTGAAATTGAGGGCGCGTCAAAGACAACGACAGACAACCGCTCAACAAGAACGGACGCCCAGCAGCAGGGACAGGGGCGCGCAAGTCTGGACTGCTCTTGTGTGCCAGACGCCGGCTTCAAACTAGTTGACGCTGCACATACCCAGCTGGCGTGAATATCTGCTGTGGTTGTTTCTCTGCGCGCCTTGCACACCCACAGCGCTGGCTCAGCGCTGGTGATGGGGAATGTCGGCCACCTTGATTACTCCAGTCACCAATGGTGTGCATGGCGGGCGGCCTCATCATCATGGCCGCTCCCATAAACGTTCGCAGCCGCTTTCGCTTTCCAACGAACCACCTCCTGCTTCCTTGCAACCTGACCTCCTGACGCCCCCTTCCTGCGGCGCGACTCCCTCGGCCCCAAGGACTCCTCATTTCGCTTGTCTCTCGGACATGGACAAACTGGACCGCCTTCCATTTCATGATGCTCCCTCCACCCCTTCGATGACGCCATCACTTAAGACAAACGAACAATGCGTTGAGCATACGGAGCAGAAACGTCCATCGCGAGCGTCGATATGGCTTCTAGGGCTTTGTGAGCAGTGGCCACTTTTGCATGCTATTTTAAAAGAAAAAGATTCTCGTCGAATCTTCTACTTCATGACGTCTGTTTCTCCCGGCTTTCCCTTGTTCAATGGGGGCAACGACTAATGGATTTCGTCGTTTTAGCCTCAATTTCTCGTTTATGGTTGTGCAATTTGTTTACGGCATTGCGACGGGCTCGCTAGGACTACTCAGCGATAGCATTCACATGCTGTTTGACTGTTTTGCACTGGGCGTCGGAATGTCTGCCGCAGTCATGAGCAAATGGCCGCCAAGTGCTCGGTTCCCGTTTGGCTACGGAAAGGTTGATACTCTTGCTGGTTTCGCCAACGGAGTCTCTCTACTGTACGTGACATGGCTTAAATAATGGCTTTTAATGTAGCTAATATTAATTTTTCATCACAGGATTATCAGCATGGAAATCATATTCGAAGCACTAGAAAGGCTTTTCTCTGGGAGTCAGCTGAATAGACTTGGAGAACTATTTATAGTATCGACACTTGGACTCGTTGTCAATATGGTTGGAATTTTTGCCTTTGATCATGCCCATCATCATGCACATGGACATAGCCATGGCCATTCCCACGATGATCACCACCATCATCACCACAATGAAAATATGCATGGTATATACCTTCATATTCTTGCTGATGCTTTGGGGTCAGTAGCTGTTGTTATTTCTACTGTCCTGGTTCATTTCTTTGGCTGGCCTGGATTTGACCCTATCGCATCTTGCATGATTGCTATCCTCATCTTTGTTTCAGCCATTCCACTTGTTAAAAGTACAGCCAAAACCCTTCTTCTCGCCGTTCCAGCAGACGTGGAATACAGCCTTCGCGAAACTCTCGCCGGAATTAGTGCTCTTCGTGGCGTCGTCGGGTATACCGTCCCCAAATTCTGGCTTGATGATACAAATATAGATAAGAAACATGACCATAGTCATGGCCATTGCCATGGTGATCACGACCACCATGCACATGATGAAAAACACGACACCACGGTTACGAAACATGAGTTACCTGAACGTCATACTCACGAACACTCGACCCAGTGTGTGCATGGCGTAATTCATGTCATCGCCTCTCGCAATGCTGAAGTTGCTGATGTCCAGCATCGAGTCGTGGATTACCTTCGTGGACGCAACATGAACGTTTTGGTGCAGGTTGAAAGGGAAGATGAAAGCAAGTGTTGGTGTGGTGGAGGCAACAAGTCCATCTCGTGAAAATTAGCCAATGAATACAATCGCTCCTCCCATTTTGATTTGGAGACAATGCTCTACTGATACATGTAACTATGATGAATATGGACCTGAGAGGAATTTAATCTTCCGGGCCAGCAATATTCGGCATCTCCCTGCTATGTTGAAATCCTCAAATAGGACATTATGCAGGCTCATGTCATTCAAGTTAGGCACCTTTGGATATTATGTTGCCCTCAAAGTCATTTTCAATAAAACCGGTGGATATATGTACATAAATAAGTCCTTACTTTTTTTTCCCACTGTGATCTGTACTTGCTTGCCATGTTTACTCGACGCGCTCAACCCGTTGTACCACAATAGCAGTCGCGGCACCACCACCATTGCAAATAGCAGCACAGCCATATTCTCCTGGCTTGAGCTGGTGCAATAGAGTGGTTAGGATTCGCGAACCTGAACTACCCAAGGCATGGCCAAGGGAAATGGCGCCTCCTAGCGGGTTCACATTGGCCTTCTCAAGACCAAGAATCTTCGAGAAACAACGTTAACATAACTCTAGACTAGAGGGAAAGCAATTTACGAACCTTTTCATTGGCTTTTATGACAGCAGCAAACGCTTCATTAAACTCCCATATAGAAATTTGATCTTGAGTGAGGCCGGCTCGCTGAAGGGCAATTGGCACGGCTTTTGCTGGAGCAACTGGAAAATCAATGGGGTCGATGGCTGCATCAGCAGAAGAAACAATACGCGCGAGAACCCGGCTTGTTGATCCATATTCACGAGCAAGAGCGGCATTCGTAATCACAAGGGCAGAAGCACCATCGTTAAATGTCGATGCATTTCCCGCTGTTACGGTGCCAGTCCCGTCGCGGACAAAAGCAGGCTTGAGTGTAGCCATTTTGTCAGCCCGAAGATCTTCAAAACCTTCATCCCGAGAAATGACAACTTCGCCCTTCTTGCTTTTAACAGTGACAGGTGCAATCTCATCAACAAATTTGTTTTCTTTCCAGGCGGCCTGAGCACGCTGATATGATCTGATTGCATATTCATCCTGCTCCTTTCTCGTGATATTATGGTTCTTTGCTGTATTTTCGGCACAAACGCCCATGTGGAATTGATTGTAAACGTCCCATAAACCGTCCTTGATTAACCCATCCTCCATTGTTGTGTTTCCAAACGGCATTTGCTGACTGGCTCGAGGATAGTAATATGGGACGCGGGACATGTTCTCCATTCCACCAGCAACCTGGGCCTCAGCAAGGCCTAGCTGGATATTTTGCGCTGCAAGAACGACAGCCTTCATACCCGACGCGCAAACCTTGTTGACTGTGAGCGCTTCAACAGACGGTGGTAAACCAGCAAACATGGATGCTTGTCTAGCTGGTGATTGACCAACAGATCCTTGAAGGACGCATCCCATATAAACATCGGTAATTTTATCCATGGGCACTTTTGATTTTTCAATAGCTGACTTGATTGCTACGGCACCGAGTTTCGGGGCGGGTACAGTGGTAAACGAACCATTGAACTGGGAACCAAGGTTAGACCGTAGACACAAAAGAAAGACGAGAACTCGGAGCCAAGGACATTACCTTGGCAGTAGGCGTTCGTGAGGCACTGAGAATGTACGCATCCTGAATCTCCTTCTGTCTCATGGCCGATGAGCCGAATTGGCGCTGGACAAGGCCCAATCTCTGGCTGGGTGTGGACCTTGGTCCCAGACGGGAGGCTAATCTGAAAGAAGGCTGCATTGTGAGAACAAAGCAAAGATAATGCACTACAAGAATTCTTTGTAGCGTGGGCCAGGAATGACAGCACAGTGTCGAGCTTTTGTCTGAAGTTGGACTGGAACCTCCCCGTCTTCAAGAGATCACATGGGCGGTTGGAGAAGCCCGGATCCCCGAGAGTACCCGCTCTCTTGGCTCTCTTCCCCAGAACTCCTCTCGGCTGGTCGGCTCCGACAACGCGGTGTCACGACATGCTTTGTCATCTGCCCCACAACAGGAACTACTAAGGCTTACGTCATGAAGGGAATATTCGGAATATCTGTTTTACCGGCCCGTCGCCCGCGGCTTTAATGGAAACTGGCGACTGAGGTGCCCAAAGACAAGATGATGAATGCATCTTCCAAAATACCTCTCTTGTCATCAAGCCTTGACCGCAAGTTCTTCTTTTTTTTGCAGCCATTCCAACGTTAGACTCCATTGATCTACCATTTATTCTTGTCTTGTATATATTCCGTTGATTCTCCTGTATTCGCTCTTTGTAGACTCAACTTTGCTCGTGTGCCTAGACATGTCCACCGCTGCCCGCCGTCGGTTGATGAGAGATTTCAAGGTGAGTTCCGAGTCGAGACATATCCTTGCATGGATGACTGATTAATAGCCCTTCCCCTTCCTCCCCGTTAGAGAACCTAACTGACTATTATCATCCAGCGAATGCAAACGGACCCCCCTGCCGGAGTCTCCGCTTCTCCTGTCGCCGATAATGTGATGACATGGTATGTTTTGGTATATCCATATCACAGAATTTACTTGAAGTGCTCATTTTTTGGTCAGGAATGCGGTGATTATTGGCCCAGCAGACACGCCATTTGAGGATGGAACTTTTCGCCTTGTGATGAATTTTGAAGAACAGTACCCCAACAAACCCCCTGGAGTGAAGTTTGTCAGCAAAATGTTTCATCCCAATGTCTACGGGACCGGGGAGCTCTGTTTGGATATCCTACAGAACCGCTGGAGCCCTACATATGACGTGGCGGCGATATTGACAAGTATTCAAAGGTATGGCAGCCTGAATCCAGCCATTATTGGCGCTGACCCCTGCAGCCTGCTTAATGACCCAAATACCTCGTCTCCTGCCAATGTCGAAGCGTCCAATCTCTACAAGGATAATCGCAAGGAGTATGCGAAACGTGTACGAGAAACTGTAGAGAAAAGCTGGGAAGACTAAGTCCTCCTCTGGAGATTCTATTAATGCCCCGAAACGAAAGTTCCATTTGAAACCGGTTCATGCTATATCCACCAGAATCTACTCTTAGAGTGCTGGCTCTTAACACTCCACGCAGAGAGCTATATTACTCTGTACTCCAAATACGTTTCACGTGCGCTACCCAGGTACGCTTGAAAGCTTTTGTTTTTCCGCCACATCTGTTACTTTCCAATAGCACTATGGATGCTATCTTTGCTGTTGCTCTTGTGTTTTTCTGTGTGCACAGCGAAAGGGGTTATGGCGCTATGGTCTGATTGTCGTATTATGTAGTCCACAATTCTGATCTTCTTCATCCAGAACAGGGTTATTCCTGGATGTAGATACAAATTTATCCCCCTATAGCCTCCGAGTTCTCCCATGATGCACATCAGCTGTGACGCAGTTGGTTTGTCAGCTTGTTAGTCAGATAGTTAGTCAAAGACGTGCCAAGAAGTTCTCTGTAGTTATAGTTATGTCAACAATGTAGTTTCGACGTTTCGTCGTTTTCTCACTTGGATGGACTGTCCCCTTCAATCACGAGATCAGCTTTGTGGGATGCACAAGGCATGGAAATTTTGGTTTCAAGTTGTGTTGATCTTTGGTTCTGTTAGCATATTCTCACGTGGGCCGCTGCCTCGTTTCAGGTGTTTCTGCAGAGCACGGAGAAGTCATCTAATACTAAACTAACTACCGATACTACCACCTTGCATCCCGTGCTTGACGCCTGCGGACCGTCGGTTCTTCCTATTTATTTTGACGACAAGGTAGCCCAACAATCCTGTGAAAAGTAATCGACGCGTCTCCCAGCGCCGGCCATCATGGCGTGAGCCTTCTTTACCCCCCGCCCTACCAGACAGCGATTGATCAATAGTAATAGGTCCGGAGGCACGGGCAGTTTTAACACTATCAAGGGTACGCGGCTCATCACGGCTCCGGCGATTTATAAGAGTACATGTTTTCTAACCGACTTTTTTTCCCTAGTTGTCGCGCGATTTCGGCCGCAAAACAAAATCGAAGTTGCCAACGGCGGCCAACCAATCGTCGAATTCGAGTCGGAGGAAACATGTCGGCTGAACGTACGTGGATTTTTACTTTAATGCCGCTTTACATTGTGTTCCGCTGTGCGCCGAGCTAGTTCAATGTCTTTATACTAATATTCGAGCGTACAGTCCAGGGATGCCGCAGGGGCGTTTACTTTCGACCGAATATTTGATATGGGCTGTCGCCAGCAGGATGTTTTTGATTTCTCGATCCGTTCCACTGTTGATGACATTTTAAATGGCTATAATGGAACGGTTTTTGCCTACGGCCAAACTGGTGCCGGTAAATCTTATACGATGATGGGGTCTGACATTGACGATGACGAGGGAAAAGGGATAATACCACGAATTGTGGAGCAGATGTTTACAAGCATTTTGACAAGTCCCGGGAACATTGAATATACCGTTCGTGTGAGCTATATGGAAATATATATGGAGCGGATTAGGGACCTTTTACTGCCACAGAATGACAATCTTCCCGTTCACGAGGAAAAGTCTCGCGGTGTATATGTGAAAGGGCTGTTAGAAATATACGTGTCCAGTGTCCAAGAAGTATACGAGGTTATGCGGAGAGGCGACGCTGCGCGTGCTGTTGCTGCAACGAATATGAACCAGGAATCTTCACGATCACATTCCATTTTTGTGATTACCATTACGCAAAAAAATGTTGAGACAGGATCCGCTAAAAGTGGTCAACTATTCCTCGTGGATCTCGCAGGTAGCGAAAAGGTGGGAAAGACAGGGGCCAGCGGGCAGACATTGGAAGAAGCGAAAAAGATCAACAAGAGCTTAAGTGCTCTAGGGATGGTTATCAATGCTCTGACGGATGGAAAATCAACACATATACCCTATCGTGACTCAAAACTCACCCGAATATTGCAGGAGAGTTTGGGTGGGAATTCACGAACTACCCTGATAATAAACTGTTCACCTAGTAGCTACAATGATGCTGAGACTATAAGCACCCTTCGATTCGGCGTAAGGGCCAAGGCAATTAAGAACAAGGCAAAGATCAATGCAGAGCTGAGCCCTGCAGAGTTGAAAATGCTGCTGAAAAAAGCACAGAGCCAAGCTGTCACGTTCGAGAAATACATTGCGTCCTTGGAGTCTGAACTTCAATTGTGGAGAAATGGCGAGACTATTCCCCATGAGAAATGGACACCTTTGAGAATAGGCGAAGGCGTTTCGGGGATCAAAACAGAAGCTAAGGCACCAAGACCCGCAACACCCTCCCGGCTCCAGGCGGAGACGCGTTCAGAGACGCCAGGCAGTAGACCGGACTCTAGAATAGGCGAGCGCTCTAGCACACCGTCTGTCTCGCTGGAGAAGGATGAGCGTGAGGAATTTTTAAAACGTGAGAATGATCTTCAAGATCAGCTGGCTGAAAGGGAATCTCAAATTGCCAACGTGGAAAAATTGTTACTCGATAAGAAAGAGGAGCTCAAGTTAATGAAAGACACGACTTTGCGAACAGGTAAGGATAATGAGAAATTAATTTCGGAAGTCAACGAATTACGAATGCTACTTGAAAAGGTTTCATTCGAAGGCAAGGAGGCTGCAATCACGATGGATACACTGAAGGATGCAAACTCTGAGCTTACAACCGAACTGGACGAGTTAAAACAGCAGCTTTTGGATGCCCGGATGAGCGCGAGGGAGACGAGCGCGGCGCTAGATGAGAAGGACCGAAAAAAAGCTGAGCGTATGGCTCAGATGATGGCAGGCTTCGATTTAAAGATGGAATTCTTTTCTGAGAACGAGCGAAAAATACAAAAGTTAGTAGAGCGTGTTGATTCTCTACACACCACGAGTTCTTCGGGTGAAGTCGTCGCACCGGATGAGTTCCTTGAAATACGATCCTCGCTGGTGGAAACCCAGGGCGTAGTTCGGCAAGCCGAGCTCGCAATCAATGACCGGAGCGGAGTCACGGCCGAAACAGATGCCAAATTGCTTGACGGGATAGTCAAGCTTCAGCGGGAGCTGGAGATGGCATTAGAAAACAATCTCGACACAAAAGATTTGTCGGAGATTAAAGATAAAGTTGAAAAGGCGTACATAGCGCGAAAGGATATCGATATCCTAGAAATTAACGGCTTACGCCGTGAAATAAGTCGAAAGGACGAGGAGCTGTCACATCTCAAGCAATCGTTAACGGATTATCGCTCCCAGCCAAATGGCTCTGGTAACGGTACGCCGACCATTAGCAGCAAGACTCTCCATCAGCAGATTGCAGACTTCGACGCGATGAAAAAGTCCTTGATGAGAGACCTCCAAAACAGATGTGAGAGAGTTGTAGAGCTTGAAATTTCACTTGACGAGGCTCGCGAACAATATAAGCATGTCGTTCAGTCTTCGAACAACAGGCAACAGCAGAAGAAAATGGCATTTCTTGAAAGAAACCTGGAGCAGTTAACGCATGTTCAGCGGCAGCTGGTGGAGCAGAACAGCAATCTCAAAAGAGAAGTGGCCATTGCGGAGAGGAAACTTATTGCTCGCAACGAAAGAATCGAGAGCTTGGAGACTCTGCTGCAGGACAGTCAAGAAAAGCTGACAGCAGCAAACCACCGGTACACCCCACTCCCCTTTAGCACTTTGACATTTCGCATAGATAGACGACTTGCTAACCGTTGCCCATGTAGCTTTGAGGCGCAACTAACTGCAGTCAAAGAGCGCCTAGAGGCTGCGAAAGCAGGGTCGACACGCGGTCTTTCTGCATCGGAGACCTCATCCTTCAGTTTTGGAGGCCCACGAATAGCAAAACCGCTCCGTGGCGGCGGGGCAGAGCATCCCAACCCCATTATCTCCAACGTCCAGGCGCAGGATGCAGCATCTGGCAAAGGTAAACGAACGAGCTGGTTCTTTAACCAGCGATGATCTGGCAACGATTTGTGCTATTTTAGAGCGTCCTGTACTTGTGTTTTTCAATACATGAAAGGGATATGTGATTGTACATCTCCTTGGAGCTTCGGATTTGGACTGTGCGGTAATGCATTCATGTTAGACCTTTTGATGTTTCATAGGTACCCATGCCACTGCTAAATTCACTAAGCCGATTAACTAATACATTCCAATACCGTCGGTCGGAATGTGTACCACAGCTAGCCGTGTAGCCTCCAGCCCTGGGGTCGGTCTGGCCAGCCACAGAGTTTGGCTGATCGGCAGTGGTGCCACGTGGGGAACTCGGCGCTGTACGTCTAGGTAGCTTATCGGTTAGTTAGTACTAATAAAGACTAGCGCCGGGGCTTCTGATATTCCGAAGGATTTTCCGAATCATCTCACAATCACATGCCAGCCTCATCACATGGACGCCCGTTTTAGGCTCCCGTTGTTCAACGGCTCCCCTCATACCTTAAGCTCAACTCTCTGTTCTCACCAACATCTCACTAGTACTAACCGCTACTCTATCACAACGCTTTGCCAAGTTCTGCACACCTGCCCACTGCATACATCTATTCTTCCTTCTAGCACCCCTCATATTCAAATACTCCACCCCGCGTCGCAGGGGAACCCTGAGCACTCTCTCAGCCGAACCGTATTCCCTTGTGCCTCCTCGATAGATGACTTGGGTAGCCCATTTGTAGGCCACGCGTCACTGCCTACACTATGCTCAAGCCGCCCGCCGCTGTCTTTGTCGTCAGGTTTGTGCTTCCCCTTACCGCCGGTCTCCTTGACTTCGCCTATGCTTGTATTTATTTTTCAATGATACGAACAGACACGGTGCGCGCTTGGATGCCGTTGACAAGCAATGGCATCTCACATCTCCCACACCTTACGACCCCCCTCTCACATATGGCGGCTGGAATCAGTCACGCAACCTTGGTGTCCGAATTGCGGGTTTATTAAGAGACTATGAACAAAACCGATTTCTCGCAAACTCTTCGTCAACCTCAGCCAGTTCAGCCACACCTTCCCAAACACCGTCTGGGGCTGATGCTACTGTGCCCACCGCCAATCTAAGCTCTCAAAATCTTAGGATCATCATCCACTCTTCACCATTTCTCCGCTGCGTCCAAACAGCGATAGCCATAAGTACTGGAATTAGTCAAATCCAGTCATCATCCAACTATTTACCACCGCTCCCTGGCGCTCTTGGGAAGCCAGCGCCTTTCAACCTTCAGAGTTCGACGGGAAATTCCGAACCCAATCACCATTTTGAAGACTTGAAGAGTATGCGGGATTCCGAATCTTCAACGTTATCTTCGCCTTCGAAAAATAAAAGAGGCTGTATGTTACGATTAGATGCATTTCTCGGCGAGTGGCTCACCCCAGACTACTTCGAACAGATTCCCCCGCCACCCGATTCAGTTATGATGATAGCAAGCGCAAAGGCAGACCTCCTACGCTCCCCTGAAGCAATTGGCCTCATCTCCCCGGTTGATTTTACTTCTGCAAAGGGATTTTTTCCTGGCGGCTGGAATGGGTGTGCTCCAAATCCGTTCGTAACGAGCGACTCTCCTACGAGCATGGTGTATAATATCTCAACAAGAGGCCGATCTGGCACATTGGAAGAAGTCTCAACCGGTGTAAACCCCTCGAAACGCCCGATACTTTCCAAACTTTCAACCACTATACCACCATCCAAAAACGGGTACATTCCACCAACTCCTGCCTATGCCATCAAGCCATCAGATCCAATTCCACACGGATACGTTGCGCATGCCCGCGATTCTTGTATTGATATCGACTACCAGTGGGATAGTATGCGAGAGCCTCATCATTGGGGTAATGGCGGAGAATACGGAGAGGAATGGAGCTCCATGCACCAGCGATTTCGCAAGGGTTTAGAGCACATGATTTCTTTTTACACCTCGGAACATATGCGAGGCTGCGGGAATCAGCAATTTCCACAGTGTGACAATGACGATGAACACCACAGGGAAACTATTCTCATTTTAGTCTCGCACGGCGCCGGTTGCAATGCTATGATTGGTGCCCTCACAGATCGACCGGCTCTGCTCGATATTGGTATATCTTCCCTAACCATGGCAACTCGGAGGTCTACGCACTCTGATGCCCTTGTATCGACGACCAGCCAAAATTCCCTCGTACCTCAACATGGTCTTGCTGAAGTGTATGACGTTAATGTTGTGGCGTCGACTGATCACCTAAGGCCTACAAGTAGCAATGCAATGCCAAATCCATCGAACCGGGCATATTCCGCTACAGATATTTCGTATCGACAACGATTTAATTCCATGTCAAATTCTGCTGACCCCCGTGGGAACTTTCTAATAAACAACGATTCCCCTAGCCGATTATTCAGCGGTCCCAAAATACATCACTCACCTTCCCGTTCACTAATTTCTAATCGATCTTCGTCTGGTCTTTGGGAGTCTAAACAAGCCTTTGATTCAATGGAAAATATTATTCCTAATTTTGGTGATAATATAGATTCTGATCCAGCGATTGATAGTCTTGAGAAGGTTGGTTCTACTACCTCTCCCTTATCAGCAACCCATATCCATAACGGGCTGTGGAAAAGCGGACCTGTCTTAAGTCGGGAGCCACTAACTAAAAGGCGGTGGACTGTAACTGACCGTTGAGACTCTCATATTGTTTTTGAATGAGTTGTGACCTTTATTCCGGGTTAAATTACCACCTACGCTTGGATGAATTGTTTCTTGGTGTTCCGGGATAAAATTACGATATCAGCCCCAGTGTTCCGTATGTTTCAAAATTGTCTTGGTGATTACGTCTAGATTCACCATTTTTAAGTCTTACTCATACTCTTAACTCCCCCTAGTAAATCCCATGGAAAACCTAGATCTCAAAACTAGGTCAAATTGACCTTTACTTCTATGCATATATGCATATATAGTGGCGTTACATTTGGTATACCCCATGCTTGGACTATGGTTTAGCATCGCGAGTTCGCTTCTATCATGAAACTACTAATAACACCATATACCCGAATACCATAAGCTTATGGTTTAATCACTTCCTTGTCGTCCACTTGAATAATTCTTCCCTCTATCTTTGGGGAAATAACCCTTGTCCATGGTGGGAGACTATCGTTCGGTGCCTCGCCTACGGTATGCACTTTCTTGTCGTCCAGCCCAATTTTTTGGCGCCATTTTCGGAGAACTTGCCTCGCCAGGTATTCTCTGTGGTCGGCATCGTCTTGTGATATTGCAGGCTTCGTGATGTATGTTCGAGGGCGTGAGAGTATATCAGCTTCTGAGTCTGATTCGGAGTCCATAAGACTTCCTTCGCTGTCATCTGCGCCACATGTAGGAACCTCCGCCGGTGTCTTGGCTGTCTGTCGGAGAGCAATATAATGTAGGCTGGGACACGGAGAAGGAGCCTGATCAGTAGCCAGTCGCGCCTTAACAGAACCAGCTTTCTGAGAAGACTTGGTCAAGCCATCATATCTCATCTTATTGTTTACCGTGTCCCAATGTCGATGGAGACTCCGGCTAAACCGGTGCCATTTCCCCAAAACCTTCAAACTTAGAAAGTATTGACGCAAGATAGTGCTCAACAAAAGGCCGTCCTCCTCCGAAACAATTTCTTCAACGTCCCCACCCTCGCTTTTCACAAGCAATGACGAGAACCCGTCTTTGCCTCTTGCCATGTAGCCTCTTGTAGATAAAGTATACATCTTACCATCCTCAATATAGTCATTCCCAATCTTCACCCATAGCACTCGAGCACCACTGGGCCGTGATGTTGAGAATGCAAATTGAATGTTGGAAACCTGGGGGAAACGGCCTTCCAGGGCGGGAAGTTGACTGACTCCATTTTCCAGGGCAGCCCGCAATTGTAACCCATTTACTCTCAACACCACAACAGGGTCCTCAAATGGGAAGCAATTCAAGATATCTTTAACCCTGAGTACCCCGGGAGGATAAATTTGATCTCCACGGATTGTACCGGCGGCCATGATTGAACAGTCTGCACCGTGATAAAACCGCATGAGGTCACACACGAAATTCCCAAGATTTGACTCACTGGTTCTTACAGTGCAAAAGCGGCCATCAAGCGGGGTCGCAGTATAGCCAATGGGCTTCTGTAGCTTAGATTTCAGAGAGGACGTTAGTTTTGCCACTAATTGGAGAGTTGAAACGTCTTCTTGGATATAGCGCACGACGTCTCTACGTGTAATGTTAAAGTCCCAGCCAGGCTGGCCTTTCTTTCTCCATGCCTCAATATAGCTGAGCTGTTTGAAGTCAGTGCCAGATCTTAAAACATGCACGCCGTTCTGGATACTGTGCATATAGTAGTGGTCATGGCCACCAAGAATAATATCAATCAAGCCTGGAGGGGTGTTATTAGCGAGTTTGTTATCATTTGGCTCTCGCTGGTGGGTAATGGCAATGATTAGCTCGGCACCCTGTTCTCGGAGCTTAGGTACTAATTCTTTGGCTGTTTCAGAAGCGGATTTATATATTATATTGGGGGGAAGAGAATTAATTGTCGCAAGCCTAAATATTGGTAAATAACACTTGTTAGTAACTACGAGTGTGGGCCGGATATCTGCAGGTTTAAGTAGACAGGAGGCTATACCATTCCCGTTCTCCCAGCCCAATAACCCCAACCTTAATTCCATTGGACGAGGTCAAAATACACGTCTTCTCGCAGCCCGCTAGAGAGACGTTTTCACCTAAGGCGGGATCTAGAACATTGGCTAGAAGCCATGGGAACTTGCATTGGCTTCTTAAGTGCCTGAACTGCGCAATTCCGAAATCAAGATCATGATTCTACCGCGGAGAGAATTACTCAATTAGCACTTGAAAACTGAACGATACGCTCATGAGAATCAGAACTCACGCCAACACAAGCGACATCAGTCCCCGCATGGTTGAGAAATGGTACCATATGGCGGCCCTTTGTGACAGTGCTCTCAAGGCTGGGATTGAAGGCATCTCCAGAGAAAAATGTTAGGATAGCGGGCAGCCCAGCGAATCTGGCGTCGTTTCTATAATAATTGACCAGAGTTTGGAAGCGCGGGGTTCCTCCAACCGGGTCTGCGGATCCGGTACTGGAAGGAAAATGATAAGATCGGGAACTCTGTTTTCGAAATCAACGGCCAGGGCCAACATACTCAACATGGTAGACGTCGTTGTAATGCAGCAGACGGAGATCCGGGTTCCCTTGACGGCCACACTTAAAAGTAGTTGACTGACCAACAGCCTCCGTGGTCGACATAGAGCTCCAGTAGCGTGGGCCGCAACAGTCAAGCGTGGATTCTTGTACAGGCAACTGTCGACCGCGACAGCTTCGGGAGAGACTGACGTAGGGTGTGTTTGATACCAAGTTGCGTCGTCGTCAGCGACCTGCCCAAGCGGTCAGTGCACGTGACGGCCAATGTATCCGCTGGCATCACCGCCACGCGCCCCTATAACTAACTACATCTCCACGACAAATCCGCAAAGTATACCCAAAATATGGCAGGTAGACGTCCCTGTCAACGGCCTCCAAATTGGCTGGCGCTTACCCGCTCAGAACACATTCAAAGGAGGAATCAAGCATTGCTTCGACCCTCTTTTGAATGTCTCCCCACGCAATTGCCTGTTAGTTGACGGGCAAGGAGTTTCCTGGATGGGGGAGGACGACCACCAGCAGTTATCCCAACGCCCCCCTCTCTCTTCCGGGCGTGGAAAGCGTTCTCCTCCAAGCCCTTTTTGCTACGGCTTGCCTGGCTCTTGCAGTCGCTGCTCCTTTCCCCGCGGAAAGAGCTCCCTGAGCCAGCCTGCCTCCTGAGCGAGGCGGTTTCTTTTTCTTCGCTCGTCTCTGCTCTGAGGCGTCGCGAGCTGTTCAAATGCATTTAGTTTTCTCTCCGCATTGTTTACCCGTTTATTCTTTGTGATCCGTTAGACGTTTACACTGCATCTCCATCCCTTCGGAACGGCATGCCCAACCCGGCTTCAGAGCCACAGGCCCCTCCCGACTTGTTGTTTAGTTTTCCGAAAAAAGATCACCGTATTGCCCCCGGCGATATATTTTCGTCTTGTTCAGGCCTACAGAAAATGGCTCTAAAGAATGAGACGCAAATTACCTTGCAGGCTCTCTCGCAGAGTCACCCAGACCCAGCCAGCAAAATCAATGGTATTGAGCTTCACGACAGCTCTGACTTGGATGACAATCTTGGCGAGAGACGACCCGATGGGAGGGTTGAGATTCGCGAGTCAGACTGCTACGAGAAATTGGGCTTTTGCTTTCCCACTCTGAAGAAATGGACTATCCTCTGCGTTATTTTTGTCGTTCAGATATCAATGAACTTCAACACTAGTGTGTATGCCAACGCAATCAGCCCTATGGCCAAGCACTTTTCTCTTCCAGAAAGTATCATCAGGCTAGGCCAAATGATCTTCCTTGTTGCCTATGCATTTGGCTGCGAACTATGGGCGCCATGGAGCGAAGAGCTTGGTAGATGGCCCGTGATGCAGCTCAGTCTTCTCTTGGTCAATGTTTGGCAATTGCTTTGCGCAATGGCCCCCAGTTTTCGTTATGTTCTCATTGGTCGCTTTCTTGGCGGTCTCTCATCTGCAGGCGGTTCGGTAACTTTAGGTATGATTGCAGATATGTGGGAAGCCGATGACCAGCAGTTTGCTGTCGCATTCATTGTCCTGTCCTCGGTTGCTGGGTCAGTCTTTGGTCCCATAGCTGGCGGCTTCATAGAGGTCTATCTTCCTTGGAGGTGGAACTTCTGGATTCAGCTCATCGTTGGTGGGGCGGTACAATTATCCCATTTCCTTCTGGTCCCGGAAACCCGTGCAACCATTCTTCTAGATAGGGAAGCCAAAAGATTGCGAAAAACTGGCGTCGCCGAAATATACGGCCCCGGGGAAATTCACGGCCGCGGCTACACCTTAAAAGAGCTTTGTGAAATATGGATGCGTCCCTTTAGCATGTTTGTTCGGGAGCCCATTGTATTCTGCTTGTCTCTTTTGAGCGGCTTCAGTGACGCGCTTATATTCACCTTTTTGGAATCCTACCAGCCCGTGTTCTCGCAGTGGGGCTTTTCAACCATCCAAATAGGCCTTGCATTCATTCCGTATGCCTCTAATCACCCTATACCTAAGATACAAGTTCTTGGCTAATTAATGTTTTCTGATAAGGATTATTGTTGGGTATTTTATAGGATACTTGACCTTTATCCCTGTTATCTTACACAATAAGAAGGATGTCATACGAAGGCCATATCGCACAACGCCAGAAAGGCGTCTATGGTGGCTTCAGTTTAGTGAGTCTCTCTTGGAGCCAACGTGAAATAACCCGAAGCTCACAATAGACACAGCTGCTCCCCTTGAGACTGTAGGTTTATTTTTGTTTGCTTGGTCAAGCTTTGGCCCTCCTCATTTCCATTGGAGTGGACCAATGTTTTTTTCCATGATGATTGCCATTGCAAATGCAAGTAATCCTACTATCTTGGCCAGAAACCCTCTAACAAAGTATCCCTAGTATTGTATCTATATGGCTACCATTGATTACATGGTTGCCAGCTATGGTCCGTATTCCGCATCAGCAACAGGTGGGAATGCATTTGCCAGAGACCTCCTGGCTGGTATCGCTGCATTATATTCGACACCATGTGAGTGAAAATTAATTTGATGCGTCTCTCAAATTCCTTCAACTAACGTCAAGGGATAATGTATTCTAAAGTTTACCAAAATGGTCACCCACAATACGAACTTGTCTATCCATCCTTAATTCTCTCGGCTATCGCACTTATTGTCACCATCCCAATTTACATATTTTGTCGCTATGGGCCGCAGATACGTAAACGTTCAAAGTTTGCGCAAACTGTTGCTAGCGATAGAGATGCAATTCTTAGGCGCCGCGCCAGACGTGCAAATAGACAGAGCACTGAAAAATCGGGAACAGAGGCTTGAATACGCTACTGCGGCTATTTGTTCAGCGTTTGGGGGTGTTTCCTCTCTGGAATAAAAGAAACTACCAAATATCGTTTCAAGGTAGTGACGTACTTTCTATATTAGCCGAAGACATAGTTGCGGTGCATTGGCTTTGTTTTTGGTGGCCCAGGTGAAGAATTATTACGAGCGAAATATGCATTAACCATAGGACATACCGGTTAATAGTGCATATTGAGATTCATTTTGCCCTGACCTACAATGCTGTCATTCAAATAGAACAGCTCCCATATGGAGCTTGGGGTGCAAATAGAACGATTGTCCTAAAGACTTTTTACTTAGCAAGTATCATCAGATATTCTAGGAAGAGCGAGTATGTCGCACTCCTGACATTTGAGAACGTTGAGGCCGCCGTTGCCCAGCTTGGCATAGTTAACTATGCCTTGGCGTCTTTGCTGTGTTTGTCCCGTTTGCATGGCCCCAAGTTCACTAGCCGTCGCGTCCCAGCTCAACGCCAATTTCAACTAACTACGCGACAAGTTTGACATATATATTTCTCACTCGTTGGTACTGCAGCCATGGTGTCCACATACAAACTCGAGGAGGAACTGATCCAGAGGGCATCTGAAGAATACAGCCAACGGATGTTGTCTAATGAGAGAGTCAGTGTCGCTACCCTCGCTCGCGAATACAAGGTGTCCTACCACCGTCTGCGCCGGCGAATCCTGCATGTGCCATCCCGTTCAACACGCAAGCGAACCAATCTAAGACTGACCGAGGAACAATATAAGGCTTTGTACAGCCATTTGGATCTTTTGGCCAACGAAGGCACATCGATTACTCCCCAAATGTTAAGAGACGTTGCCAATTCCATCTTAGAAGAGAGCCATTGCGACCCAAGCTCTCCCCCTCCCACCGTCGGTAAGGGTTGGCAATACCGCTTCATCGAAATGCACCCAAATTACTTCCCAAACATTAGAGTCCGGAAAAACGGGTCCCGGCTCGGCGTGTTGCGAGGTAGCTTCACCGAGCAACCACAGCAGCAGCAGCAGCAGCAGCGAGATCCTTCCACCTGATTTCCGCATCGTTCTCACGCAATAATAGTCATTTTGACTTTGTACTGTCATTTTTAGTACCTTCTGAAGCTGCGATTATTACAAATGATCATGGGTCTTAAATATATTTAATAGCGGCATCCTGGAGTCACAGCTTTTGCGCTACTTACATTCTCCCCAACTTACTTGACTCCTAAACGACCTGCGCGAAGAAGGCCAATTTGTCTCCCTTCCCTCCTAAAGACAACGACCGGCTTTTCTCCATATGCATTATTGAATATTCAAATGCATTTCAAATTCACCCCACACTCGTCATCATGAATGTTCTTCGGCCTCGATAAGGGATATTTCATGTCATGTACTCTCAGCATATGTTACAATTCGCTTTGCCTCACCGAGAAGCTACTTGTGATTCCCCCCATGTGCATAGCACTTCTCGGGGGAGTACGTCAGAGTGGACTAGCGCTTCTTTAGAATCTACCAATAGACTTGAACATCTTCGCTGCACCACGAGCAATGTAGTTCGACTATCCTATACCCCACGGATTCTCCCTTTTCAGTACTCTAAATCCATTGACCCGCCAGTTTTCACTACATATTTTAGCGTTAGTATTGTTCCTGAAGCTAGTCTCCTCCTTAGGAGCGTCTGTTGTCCAAGAGGCATATCGCTTGGGTTTTAGACATGAGATGTTACCCACTAGTTAGGCGGGCCAGGTTTAATACTAAATTTTGTGGCTGAGTAGGTAGACAATACCTCAATTCTCAACATCCATCCGGAGTTATAATTAGTAGATGAAATACATGCTTAGTGATTGACTGGGAACGGCTTGGTTTTGGTTGATATAAAGACCTTAATGAAATAACATATGGATACAAACTTTGACATGTTTATACAATTTCGCTGAGCAAATATTTTAAAGCAGAGGAATTATCAGAGATAGGTAGAATATTGAACGCTTAGCAGAGTGAAGCTGTGCTGAACGAGAATTTCGAACTAAGAAATTGCAAATAAATAGAGGCTTGCTCGCTAATACCTTTCAAGTTGTATGTACTTTTGACGGGCTGGATGATAGCATAGGCAGAGGAAAGATATTTAGGGGAGAAGGGGAAAGCATAAAGTTCCAGAACTTTGGGTTTTGAGACCAAAAAAAAAAAAGGGGGGGGGGAAGGAAAGGAAATAAAAAGAGTGAGAATGGGCCGCTTGTTTAACCCAATGAGAACTCATATTCAAAACTGGTGACTTATTTCGACTCTGAGATTGATATATTTCCAGATGACAGTTTTCTCTTAGCCCATCCGCTGAAGAAACCTCCAGCACCATTACTGGCGGAATTGGCGGTTGGCGCCGCCCTAGGTGGTGACGAAAACGTTCCCCATGCTGCTGATAAATGGATATGTTCTGTTGGAGGTGTCCCTAGTATGGCTACAGGAGACCCCGTACCTGCCCTAGAAACTAGCTTCCGGAGACTTTCCAGCTTGGACTTCACCTCGTCAAGCTCCTGGCGGGCAAGAGCCTCTGACGTTTTTGCATTGACAAGCTCTGTGAGAAGGGAGTCTTCCCCCGAGTTCTCTGGCGGAAAAAACAACGCGGGAGCACCAAGCGAGCTTGTGCGCTTGGAAAAAGTGGTGGCCTTGGGTGATGTTGCATTTTTCCCAAGCTTGAATTCACGAAGGCCACTCGAGGAGCATCTGTCATCGGCAGCGTTGTTAGCGATCGGGCCGTCGGGAGAAGATGGCTGTTTGCGGCATCGGAGTTCCTGGATTATGCGTTCAAGCCGTTGCTTGTCTCTGTGCGTATCTTGAACGCGGCTCCTGGTTTCGCGAAGTTGGTCCTTTAGTTGCCCATTTTCATGTTCATGGTCATCAATAAGACGGCCAAGATCCTGGCACCTAGCAAGCTCGATCTCAAACTTGTCTTTCCACATGACGATCTCATCTCGAAGTTGTTGTTTGCTTGGCTGTAATGAGGTCCTGGGGGGATCAAATGTATTGATACGATCGTTTGCTCTCGCAATCAGCTCAGTAGTATCATCATCGTTTGGCTGCTTCTTGACATATCCGAGAAGTAATCTGGCAAGTTGTTGGTCTTCCTCACGCTCTTCACGCTCTCTTTGTAGTTGCTTTGCCAGAGTTGCATGCTCGCGTTGCATATCAGTCAAGGCAATCAAAAGATCCTCAATTTGCGTATGTAGATCCTTGTCTATGTTTGGGAGATTTGGCTTTATTTTCCGTTTATAGCCGTCGGATGAAACATCTGTTGGGGCAGTACTGGCATCTGAAGCTGACTCGAATGAGTTCAGAGTTGAGGCCATACTTTGTTTTGAAGGAGTACGGCGAACAATTGATGGGCTAAACGGCGCCCCAGGATTCAAAGTGAGGGATTTCGAAGAGCCGTGCGAATTTGATCCAGACCAAAGTCGGCCTAAGAATCGAGAAGCGACTGCTTGAAGCTGGGGAAGATGGATGCTGGATGAGCTTCCCTGAAGATCCTGATAGTTACTTTCAAGTAGTTGCAGGCTTTCCCGTGTTACTAGAGAGGTAAACGATACAAAATCGTTGACGAGATCGTCGGCGTTACAGCAATACCTAGGCCGAGTTTAGCAGCATTCGAGATACCAAAATGGTGGAACATACGGGTCCCAAATACTTCTTGATAGCAGAAGTTGCATGACATCTTCGAATTCACGACATGATAGGAGCCTCTTCTTATTTCGTTGCATCAATGAAAGAGCCACACGCATCAGGGTCTCGCATGCACCTTCGAGAAGTAGAACGTCGTAGATCCGAAGTAGCATTGGAAGAGGGCAGGTCACAGCAAAAAAGGACAGAAACCACTGTGAAACATAAATTGGTTCAACACTCAGGGAGTCCAGGTGGGCGTGCAAATCTGGCAGATGTCGGCAGAGAAGAGCTTGAAACTGATATATACGTAAATGAAGGCCAGATAGAGTGGGAAGGAAGCACGATCGTAGATCGTAATGGTCCATTAATCTAGAGAGGATTTAGTTAAATAGCTGTAATTCGAGTGGGACGCTGAAAGAACCAACCTGACAAGGACACAAAACGCCTCCTCCTCGCTCATATGCATCAGAAGGGGGCCCACAACAAATCCAAGGCCTTGACAGTAGCCAATCTTTGTATCATGAAGGCTGAAGCACTTCAAAACCTTAGCCAACATCTGCTGTCCTTCTCCATTTGGGTCCCTGAACATCTCTACGTTCGGAAAGCTTCTGCCGATATCCTTACCAATGAGGCCCTCATACGGGCTTGATTCACCGCTCAACCGCTCAAACTCTTCTTGAAGATCTGCATCTCTCGCGCCGGCAATACTGGGCCAAACAACTCCCCGAAGTGGAGGAGGAATCCCGCTTCGAATCTTGTTGGATGTCAACGTTGGAAGCCTCTGAGCCGTGCGGGGATAGTCTGCAACAAGGGCGGCCCAAAATTCCAGCTCAGTCATTTGAGGGGTTGGCAGTAGCGAATATCTCAGAGAGGAGCGAGGATTAGCCACCAGGTCCTTAAGTTGTTGGATCGACGGTGGTCTTGAGGTACGTCGATTACTGGAGTTGCTAGGTGATGCTGATTTTGGATCGGTTGCCAGTGCAATATTCTCCTGTTCCAACCTTGCCAACAGTAAGGCAGTTGACTAGAAATAGTCCGTTATTAGTAGATTCACTCTTGATTAACGAATAGGCATTGCTAAACCCACAGCATCGTCCGTTGGGCCTGACTTGGATTCTAGTTCTTCAGTTTTCTCCAATTCCACCCAGTCCACAGAGTCAGCATCACCTGGCACTGCTGACATGGCTGATGTCCTTGTTGGGGACACCACGGATATATCGCTGGGGCCAATTTCATCATCCAATGTCAACACGTTTGTGATAGCCAGGGTCTCCTGATGAGAGCTAACTGCGGACGTTCGAGGACGGTCCGAAATATCATCCAAGGAATCACTTATGCTAGAGCAGGGCTGGAGGTCCGAGAGAGGAACAGTGACCATAGAATCCGTCGGCTGCCGGCTAGAAGCCTCATTGCGATCGATTTTGAGTGATCGAGGCCGGTGAGTATGTTCAGGTGGCGGCGCCATTTCGAGGGCACCGGCTACGGGTCAGGCGCTAGTTAAGGACGAGAGTCTCTGAGACATGGAATGGGGGGCGATTTTGAAAGGGAACAGTGCTACTGGTAGGGGCTCCTGTGGCATTCAAACAGCAAAGGTAAGGACTGAAACAGCAACAAAGGAGTGTTCAAAGAGAGTGAGCGGACAGAATGCACGGTGCCGTCAGTGCAAGACTGCTAAATGAGTGTGGGCGATGGAGCATGCCGTCTAATGGGAGCAATGTTCAACCCGTTGGTTGATTATATGGTTCTATCCAGCTTCAAGGCTACGGGTTCGTTAGTCAGGGGTTAGCAAAGATCCCCGCCTTGGCGTGAACAGACAGAGAACCGAACGACCAGCCATAGTTACGCACTTGTGAAGGAGGCGCAACGAAACACTCTTCCATGCCGAACACACAATAATGGTCTTCATCCAGACGCTGAAAGTCGCACCGCGCATAATCCGGGTGGCGTCAAAAGGAAGACATCTGATTGATGCATCGAGCGTCTGGCGTTGAAACCCCAATGCCGGCACACCCACATGCCCAGGTATTCAAACATGTGTCCGCGCGCGCACAAACAACGCGCAGTAGATGCAAACAAGCACGACGCCGGCCGATCCCTTCTCGTCGTTGCAGCCGTTACAGCGTCGCCGACGGTGTATTTTTGTATTGCCTATACTGGCTAGCGCGACCGCCGCTTCCACGCTGGGGCAATGTTGATCCGGCCGGCTCAACCCAAACGGTACAAGCGTGCGTGGCAGCCCGTCGCGGCGCGTCAACACAGCCCAAAGCGGAAGCGAAACAAATCAACAACACTCGCGCCCTACCGCCGACAATGCAAGCATGACAGCGACTGCCACCAGCTCGCCTTAACCCACGCAGCCCCCTCACATTCGTTTCTCCTTTCGCCCCTCATTCCCGCCGGCAATGGACTCGCCTGCCGTCTCCGACTTTGAAGGCGACAGCGCCAGCTCGGATTTTATGCCTGAGCCCGCTCCTGTAAGTCTGCTAGCCTTTTTTACGGTCATATCTTCCGGCTTATTTTTTCGCACCAGAAGGCAAGGGCAAAGGCCAAGCTAGCACCGGGAAAAAAATTGTCCACAACGACGAAAGCAAAGCCACAGAAAAAACCGACACAAACTACACTCAAGAAGTCTACAGCTGCAAAAAAGAAACCTTCCAAGGAAACAGAGAACACGGCTCCTAGTGATGATGATGTGGATATGATGGGCCCCAATTCAGCTCTCTCAAGTACACCCCCGAAACCAGTGAAAAAACCAAAGCCCGCTGCAGCAGTAAAGAAGTCAAACAGCAACCCATTGGGGGCTCTGGAAAATGCATCTTCCACGACCGATGCTTTGGGGGGAAAAGCCGGGGATCAGTATCAACGTGTAATGCCCATATTCCCCGGACCCCGACTTTATGATAACTGACAGAGTCCTCTAGCTCACACAGTTAGAACACATCATCAAACGTCCAGACACGTACATCGGGTCAGTCGAGCGAACCCAACAGCAGATGTGGGTATACAATTCGAGCTCTGATCAAATGGAATATCGTGAGGTTTCCTACGTCCCGGGCCTTTACAAGATTTTTGATGAAATTCTTGTTAATGCGGCGGATAATAAACAAAGAGATAAGAATATGGATGAAATAAGAATCACTCTGGATAAAGAGGCAGGTGAAATTAGCGTATGGAACAACGGCAGTGGTATTCCCATTGAAATACACTCGGTACGGTTTGAACTGACCGACTCGATCTATGTGAAAGGCACTAATGCAATGTAGAAAGAGCAAATCTATGTACCCGAATTGATTTTCGGTAATCTGTTGACATCATCTAATTATAACGATGAGCAAGCCAAAGTTACTGGTGGCCGAAATGGATACGGAGCTAAGCTGTGCAACATATTCAGCACTGAGTTTACTGTTGAAACTGCGGATTCGCGAAGCAAGAAGAAATACAAGCAAACATGGTCTGAAAATATGTCGAAGATGGGAAAAGCAAAAATAACTGACTGCAAAGGTGATGATTACACCAAGGTCACTTTCAAACCCGATTTCAAGAAATTTAGTATGGATAAAATGGATGATGATTTTGAAGCCATTGTTAAGCGAAGAGTCTATGACTTAGCAGGAACCTGTAAAGTCTCTGTCAAACTCAATGGCTCAAGAGTCCCGATCCGAAATTTCAAAAAGTATATGGAAATGTACACCAAGGCAATCAAAAAAGAGCGAGGGGAAGAAGCCTCTTTGGACAAGAATGAAATAGTGACCGAAAGCCCAGATCCAAGATGGGAAATCGGTTTCGCTGTCTCTGACGGTTCTTTCCAACAGGTATCATTTGTCAACTCGATAGCCACCACTTCTGGAGGCACCCACGTCAACTACATCAGTGATCAAATTTGCAGCAAACTAGCCGATGCTGTAAAAAAGAAAAACAAAAATGGGCCTACACTTAAAGCCGCACAAATACGGAACCACATCTTTCTATTCGTAAACTGTTTGGTTGTTAACCCAGCGTTTACGTCGCAAACGAAGGAACAATTGACTACCAAACATAGTCAATTTGGCAGTAAATGCATCCTTTCCGATGACTTCCTAAAAAAAGTCCTAAAAACTCAAGTAATGCAAAATATCATGCATTTCGCAGAACAAAAAGCAGACCAAATTCTTAAAAAGACCGATGGTAGCCGACGAGCACGCATGAGTAACCCCAAGCTTACCGACGCCAACAAAGCAGGCACAAAGGATGGCCACCATTGCACACTCATCCTTACTGAAGGAGATTCAGCCAAGGGTCTTGCGATGGCAGGGAGAGCCGTGGTTGGACCCGATCTCTTCGGTGTTTTTCCCCTCCGTGGAAAGCTTCTCAATGTGCGCGATGCATCTGTCGATCAAATTTCAAAGAATCAAGAAATTCAGAATATTAAGAATTTTCTCGGCTTACAACATAAGAAAGAATATACAGATACCCGTGGCCTTCGTTACGGTCACCTTATGATCATGACCGACCAAGATTATGATGGCAGCCATATTAAGGGACTTTTAATAAATTATCTCCAAGTTGCTTTTCCAAGCTTGCTTAAAATTCCGGGTTTTTTGATCGAATTCATCACCCCGATTGTGAAGGTTTGGAGAGGTGATCCCAAGGAGCCGAGGGATTCAAAGTCTTTTTTCACTATTCCAGAATATGAAGAATGGAAAAAACATCATGGGGACGATCGGAAATGGGACAAAAAGTATTTCAAGGGTCTAGGTACAAGCTCAACAGAGGACGCCGAAGTATATTTTCGAGATTTGGATAGACATCTTAAAGAGTTCCATGCTCTTCAAGACAATGAGGCGCAGCTTATTGATCTCGCATTTTCGAAGAAAAAGGCCGATGAGCGGAAAGAATGGCTTCGACAGTTCAAACCCGGTACATTTTTGGACCACTCAGTAGAAAAGATTACTTATACTGATTTCATCAATAAGGAGCTAATTTTGTTCAGCATGGCGGACAATATCCGGTCTATCCCATCAGTTGTTGATGGATTAAAGCCTGGTCAGAGGAAAGTTCTATATACCATGTTTAAGCGCAATGTGAAAAAGGATGTCAAAGTGGTGGAGCTCGCTGGTTACGTCTCCGGTATGACAGCCTACCAGCATGGCGACGCTTCACTACAGCAAACAATTGTCGGCCTTGCGCAAACTTTCGTCGGGTCAAACAATGTAAATTGTCTGGAGCCAAGTGGTAATTTTGGTAGCCGTTTACAAGGAGGATCAGATTGTGCCAGTGCCCGTTACATTCAAACTCGACTCTCGCCTTTCGCCAGACGCATCTTTCACAGCGCAGACGAACCTCTTTTGAAAAACAGTATTGATGACGGGAAAAAAATCGAGCCAGAAATCTACGTCCCTGTAGTGCCTCTACTTCTCATTAATGGCGCAGACGGTATTGGTACAGGATGGAGCACAACAATTCCGAATTTCAATCCTGAGGACATTGTTGACAACCTAAAACGGCTAATGGATGGACAGGCACCCATTCCTATGAAACCGTGGTTTCGTGGGTTTGCTGGAGAGGTAACAGGCTCTGGAGACCGATACAAGTTTAATGGGATTATAAAGCAAACGGGTGACTCTGAAGTGGAAATTACAGAGCTTCCTATTAGGACGTGGACACAGGATTTTAAAGATAAGCTGGAAGACATCATCAAAGCTGAGAAAGCGCCCTCCTTTATCAAAGACTATAAAGATTACAATACTCATAGCAAAGTTCACTTCATTATTCAGATGGATGAAAAGCACATGAAGAAAACGCTTGAAGATGGACTAGAGGAAAAATTCAAGCTTTCGAAGTCTATTTCTACTACCAATATGGTGGCATTTGATGCTGAAGGTCGGATCACAAGATACGACACGGCAGAAGACATATTACGAGCATTTTACGCGGTCCGAATTATGTTCTACGAGAAACGAAAGGTATAGCTCTATTATCCAGAATACCAGCTCAAGAACTGACTTTTGAATAGCAATTTTTATTGTCCCAACTGCGCAAGGAACTTGACAAGCTTTCAAATCAAGCCAGATTTGTTCAGATGATCATAGATGGAAAACTCGTCATTTCAAAGAAGGCAAAGGCTAGGCTCATCACAGAACTGAAGGAGAAAGGTTTCAAACCAATTCCAAAGGGTATAGACTCCGCTCAAGAAGGCGAGAGTGAGCCATTTGTTGAGGATGATGAAAATGAAGAAGATAAGGAATTGGGTCAAGATCTCTACGATTATCTTCTCGGTGTAAGTGTCGTCTTTTCCTCGCTTTTTATCTGTTTCAAATAGGACTAAAAATGCTGGTATTGCTGCACAGATGCCCCTCTGGTCATTGACGCAAGAACGAGTCGAGAAACTGCGTCGCCAAATTGGTGATAAAGAAATCGAGGTAGATCAGCTGGTCAAGTTAACAAAAGAAGATTTGTGGAAAAGGGACCTGGATGAGTTCATTAATGAATGGCGGTTGCAGCTAGAAGGTGAAGAACGCCGGGCTAAGAAGGCCCGAAGCTATGGTAGACGTGTGTCGGCAAAGTTGAAAACCGGAGGCCGAGGCCCTGCTGCGAAGAAGCGGAAGGCTGAAGATGATGATAGTGACTTCGGTCCTAAACCAAAGAAAGCCACCGTGGTCAATCGAGTTAAACCCACGGGTGGCCTTCTCGACTACCTGAGCAAATCCAAGCCACAGCCAAAAGTAAAGAGCTCGACTTTTGATGGTGCTAGTGGCACTGATGATTTTGAGGGCGAAGTTCTTCCTCAGAAGAAGCCTCGTGCCACTATAAAGAAGGGTAAAACAGATGATTTCGTTCCATTCTCCTTCAGTGATACAGATGATGGTAAAGACGTTTTACGCGAAAAAGAATCAGCAGGACTAGAGAAAAAGCCAAAAGCACGCTCTCCTAGTATACCGGTTCTCTCTGAAGGCGATGATTTCCAATTGGTTCCAAAACACGTGAACAGAGCTTCGCGCACTGAGGCCATACTGGACAATGATCCCGATTTGGACGACGTTGTTGCCAAGCCACGTCAACGCGCTGCACGCATCAATCGGAAACCTGTTATCTACGACGAGCCTAGCTCTTCCGACATTGATCAGGGCGATGATTTATTAGGTGATGTCAGCAAAATGGTCAAAGGCATAGGTGCGAGAACAGTAGATCCACCAGCATCTCCAGCACTCTTTTCTTCTGAGTACTCCCGGCCGGGTGTTGGGCTTGGGACCAAAGCAGTGCCGAAATCCCTTCGTGCCACGGCGGAGTTTGACCCCGACGAGACAGATTACTCAAAACTCATTCCGATGAACTCACCTCGACGGTCTCTACTCGTAAAACCAAAAGACGGAAAGGAATCCAGAATCGATGAGGATGACACAGAAAGCTCGCCAATAGCCAGTAGCAGGCCAACTGTGAAATCCACAAAGACGGCCGCGTCAGCCAGCACTCGAGCTAAACCTCAGAAGGCACCAGCAAAGAACAAAGCAACGTCGGCCAAAAAGACTCAGCTTTCACCGGCGGCCAAAGTATATGCTAAAAGGAAGACAGTCACGAAGAAAGCATTAGCCGATGAGCTCTCGGATGACGATATTGACGCCATGGCTAACGATATCCTTGAGTCTTCGGAGTCCGAGAAAGAGTCGATACCCAAGGCCGCAACCGCCCCGGCAGCACTGAAAGGCCGACCGGCGCGCCGAGCGGCAGCAGCTCCAAAAAAGGCAGCTTATATGATTGATAGCGACAGCGAGGATGAATTCGCTGGCGGGGCTTCCTCTAGCGACGATTTTTCGGACATTGAGTAAAGAGTATGTGGCGTTGCAAGATACCCGGATACTAGGACGCAGGGTTTAATGGAGAGGCAGGGGCGATTCTTATTAGTTACATGCAGGCCTGAGCTTGGCAGACATTTTACCTGTATATTTTTGTGTTTTTTATATCTTACAGATGTGTGTTTTTAGTTCTTTTTATCGATACAACAACTATTGCTTACTTTTAACCCTCGAATTCCGGCGAAGAATATGTAGCCAAGCGTTAAACTAACAACTGCAACAGACCCATCCCGCTGATGCAGGAGGTGTGGGGAAGATGGGTTTACAGGACACAAGCGAGCGCGACGACCCTGGGGAGAATGCAGCCAGCTGTGCGGCGTAGAACCACGCGAACATCCACAGCCGGAGCGTGGTTACACCCGGCAGTTTGGGAACCCAATAGTTATCCGCTGCAAGACAGAGTTCGAGAAGCCTAACTCGTCGACGGAGCATTCCGCCAGGCCTCCCGCCCGTCCGCAATAGCAGGTAACTAGCAGGCAGGGCGTGTCAGGAGTGCCACGTGATAGCAGCTGACTCAGCTCGCTCGTCTTCACGCGTGCGCAACGTCGCCTGTCGTGAGTACAACTGCAGGCCGCCGCGAGTCCAGAGCCCAGTGAGTGGCACAGGCGCCCGCAGGGTCCTGTTCGACTCGCCCGAGCTATGCAAGTGTGTCCTGATATTTATTCCGCGCGGCATCGCTGTCAGCACCCGCGGAGCCCCGGTCATTCCCCTGCTTCGACTAATTCATTTCTAGGCGGCGAACCAACACCCGGATCTTCTTCCAAAACAATAGGATTTACGCTCATCTTGTCTCCCTGTACTGGGTTCCTGCTTCCATCCGTGAGTGGGGTTGGCAAAATATTGGGCTGCTGACAACAGCATACCATTCTGTCGAGCAACCGTTGCGTTTTGCCTGAGCGCCTTCAAAAGAATACAGATGCTGTTACTAGCTACTTTGGAGTCACACTAATTTTGGCGACAAGGAGGTCGCTCTTTCCGTTATACTTTTGGCGAAGTCCCTTAAAAACTCACATTGTATGTTTTAAGGCCATTTACACCCGCCCCCAGCCCTTTCACTGGTATATTCCCCCTATAGTGGCACTAGTACTAGCGACCAGTATCCAAAAAATCTAAACTCTCCCAGCGGAATAGTATAAGGTATCCGTCAATTCGGTTGACTACGCGGTGGTCTGCCGGGACTTCCACTACGGCAAATTAATGGAGGCCAAAGCGACAAGGGTAATTAGCCTGTCCCCTTTTCCTTGGGCCAGCATCCAACCCGTGAAATATATGGTGTCCGTACTACCACCCTTTGAATCCGGGGTAGCCATGTTGAACCCGCCTGGTTTGCCTCTCTTCTTGTTTCGTCCCTTAAACAAGAATTTTCCGATTGGTCGTTTCTGTTCTCTTCTCATATTCCGAAACTGTTGAGTCAACTGAGGTAATAATGCAATCACCCGTGACATGAGGTCTCATCATGCAATGTTCCGGGGAATATTCAAGCTTGAGGTTTTCTTTCCCTGGTATGTTAGCTCACCCCTTCGGGCTTCCCCCCCCCCCCCCCCCCCCCCCCCCCCCCCTTTTTGCATCTCCCCCCTTTCACCACCTCTCCTCTCACCATCTTTCCTTCTCATCCTCCCTATCTCTACTCATTCTTCC